TAACAGAAACTCCAGAGACTGGCGATGAGACACTACAGTGACGTCAGCACGTAAACGGTCACTCACTGCTGTTAATGAAAGGTGATGTACTCTGAGTAAACGTGTTACTGCGGCACATTTTTAAAAGGGGAAGAGGAGGGTAAAACATCTTATATGGGGATGATAATAATAATATATGATAAAAGTATTAAACAACATCTTTAGGCTGCCAGGGAGCCAGTATCAGTTCCCAGGTGAAAACAGCACCAAAAGCAATCAGTTAATTCCAATCAGGCTCTTTGCAGCCTGTGCACACAGCTGATAATTATTAATGTACACCCAGTTGACAATTTATTAGGAACATCTAGCTTAAACTGATATAGTCTAATACAACAGTCCTTCATGAAGATTATACTGTTTATACAGAGGTGTTTCTGTTATTTAGCCTATCTTCTTTGATATTAATGGGTTGGTCAAAATAATTGAAACTTTAACTTCTCTTTGATTACTAATTATCAGAATCAGCCCTGAAAAATCTGTTGATCCCTATTGCTATTAGTCAAATATAAATGAAACTTTCCGTAAATTTATTGCTTCTTTATTAGTTTTTCTTTGGCCAGTCATTTTACCGTTTTTTTTTACCGATTTTTTTTTTTAAAGTGCAGGGTAACAGTTCAAACCAGGATGTGTTGAGTCCTTCATTATGTCATTGGCTCTGCTGAAGTAGCAGGAGCTGGCGATGTCTTCCAGGGAGGGCAGAGAGCAGCCAATGATTTTTATTATTCTCTGTAGAGCTTTCCTGTCTGCTACTGAGCAGCCTGCGTAGCACAATGAAGTGCAGTAAGTCAGTGTGCTCTCGATGGTGAAAGGCCACTTGCAGCTTTCAGTCCAGGTTGTTTTTCCTGAGCTCTCAGGAAGTGCAGTCGCTGTGTGTGAGCACATGCTTTGAGTACTTTGCTCGGTGCTCCTTCAGGGCCAGCAGCCTCTCTCAGGCTCACTGACCTCAGCACACGACTCACTTCATGTTCCTGCACAGTGAGTGTGTGGGTGTTAGAGGCTGGTGGAGGCAGAGAGACGGTTTAGTTCCTCAGCCAGCGAGGCGTCAGCGCTGTATCTCCTGCCACTCCCTCCATGGATGATGGTCTCTATTAGATCTTAGTGCTGCATTTGATATAGGATCTTATAACAGAGACTAGAACATGTCGTTGGTATTAAAGGAACTGCACTAGTCTGGTTTAAGTCAGACTTATCAGATAGTCAGTAATGACTCTTCCATAAACACAAGAGTTAGTCATGGAGCTCCACAGGTTTCTGTGCTTGCACCGAAACATTTTATCATCATTATTATTATTATTATTATTATTATTATTATTATTATTATTATTATTATTATTATTATTATTATTATTATTATTAATTGGTGCTGATCTCATTGCTGCTGTTATTATGAGGTTTCTTTCTGTTATAAGGGAGTTTTTCCTCTTCACAGTCACCAGGTGCTGCTCATTGTGAAGCGTTGGGTTTCTCTATATAATAATCAAGAAGTCTTGTGTATGTGTGTGTTTTGATTTGGTGCTATACAAAGAAAATTGAATAGAAGTGAACTGCATGCAGCACTTTTCACATTGACACGTTGTTTACACATTGTCATACATTGCTATTATAAAAAATAGAATTGCAGCATGTTGGTATTGTCATTGTGAGCACTGCTGTCTCTCAGTACAGCCTCACCGAGCTGTTAGCATGGCTCTTGTTTTGACATGAAAACATGATAAGGAACATAAATCATTATTTGTTATCAGTGGTCATAAAATGAAAACAAAGGTTCACAGTTTGTAACAAGTATTTCCTGTCTGTCCCGTCCTCTAGTGTCACAGGAATGACGAGTGGGATGTTTCCTGTCGTTGTCCCTTCGCAGGCTGCCACTCAGCCTGACACCACTTCACCAATGACAGCAGATGAGCACAAACCCAGTGGTGGGGAAACTCTGCTCTCACATTAGAGAGCAGCACTCAAAACACAAGCATGTAGTTGAAAGGTTTTCCCATTTTCCTCTCAAAGTCCTCAACTACAATTTTACTTCAATAAGTTCAAGATGGTTCAAATGGAGAAAGTGTTTTTCAGCAATAGAGTGCTGCAGGAACGAGTCCTGAAACCCAGAGATTAGTTGCATTTTAGCTGAAATAAAGTCCGTGTTTAACACAAGCTCAAGACATTTTCATGTTTTATTCTGTGACATTAAATACGTCAGTAAACATCCCAGTCCTGAATTCTTTAATCTTTTACGTCTCTTAAAAAAGGCCGGATGCTAACCAATGTCTAAATGAGACTACAGAGGTTGTTGGGGACGTTAAATGTCACCATGTGAACTTGAAAACTGATCTACTCACCAGTCCACCTTTACAGCCTCACTAACTCACCAGTCCACCTTTACAGCCTCGTTAACTCACCAGTCCACCTTTATAGCCTCATTGTGTTTATACAATCTGTCACTAACTGTCAGAGGAAAGGCTTTTGTTGAAGAGGTCAGAGCTGAATCAAACTACAAGTTGAAGTGTAGTGGTGGTGACGGTGAAGTCATGTGACCCTGGTGTTGAAGTCATGTGACCGTGGTGTAGTTGGTTTGTGGGCTAACATTAGCTTTTTTACTTCTGCTGATTGTACTTCGGCTTCAAACATCATACAGTGGAGTTCATCAGTGAAGATGATCCTGCTGAACTCAACCTGTCGGGATCAGAAACTGTTGTTTGCCACAGAGTTTATTTTCGGCAGTAATCCAGAAGTCAATGTAAAACGCCCACTGGCTTTTCATGGAGGGAACAGGATGACGCTAACATCCACGTTGGCCGACAAAGACACATCATCCCTGTGGCACTCTATAAACTAGTCATACAGAAACATGACACTGTTATTATAGACGGAAAAAGTCACGTTTGATTCATCTCTTGTGGTAAGACAGTTTCATGTGTTCTTTTTGAGTTTTCATGTGGCTTATCGCCCTCGAAACACACGTCGAGTCGTCCGCTGAGCAGCAGCTTCAATCATCCAGAGGTCTGTGTGTTCCATCTCCAGTCCTCCAGGATCTCATCTGTGCTCCACAGCATTGTGTTCAACAGATATTTGGTTCAATAACAATTATATTATTGTCACAGTATTTGTATCCCAGAGCAGTTCAGATGTGGAGCAGGAGGATGTGAACTGCAGCAATTTTCTTCATGAAAGTCTGTGAATATTGGTCCTTCGGTGTCCCACAGTGCAGGGAAACAGTGTCAGTGCTCGCTCTGGGTAATTTGTTTTCTATTTGCAAGTCCACCTGCGTCTCTGCACAGGTCACCTGAACCACAGTCGACTTATCCCATACTCAGCTGATCTTTTAAGAAACATGAAATGCCTCCAAATAGACTTTGACATCCGTTTGAATGAAAGTGGACTTTCATTCAAACGGATGTCAAAGTCTAACAAATGTATGTTGAGAAGCACTAATCACATCTGGTCTCGTGTGTCTTTAGTGTGTTTGGGAAAAAACATTTTCTCTTTTCAGCTGTGGCAGACAATGTGAATCCACATCCGCTGTAACCTCTAAGATTTAAACCATTATTATTAAATGGGGTCAGTGGGAAAACAACAACCGAAAAATCTATCCTCAAGAGCTAGAAAAAAAAAAGTCTGTCTTTTGTCTGGATTGTGTTTAAATAGAAGGAACTTTGTTAAAACAAAAGCCACTTAAAGCAGAGATGGAAAATGTGATGATGGGAGTGTTTGCTGCTCACAGAAGTCGCTAAATGCTTTGAAAGGTACTGAACTTCTGCGTCTGCCCCTGTGTTAAAAATGGTACACAGCTGAACTTATGAACCCACCATATAAACAATTTACCCACACTGCATGCTTTGTATTTCTGTGTCCATACAGTATCTATTACTATACTAGACACAATGTTGAATTTGTTGTATGGAACAAGGAAAAAATAAAATCTCCAGTCATCCAACATGAATTAGTTGCTGCAGTGTGTGTGTCCCAGGGTTAAACTATCTCCAGGGGTCTGTGTTTTCTCTCAAGTAAAATGTCCCACATTATTCCCACAGCACAGAGCGACAGTGTTGTTTCCTGGCAGTCTTAAATCCCCGGGGATCCTCTTCCGGACATATTTTCATTCTGTTCATCTGTGCTGGAAATATGTAACAGAGGTCAAAGCCCTGCAGTTGTGTCACGCCTTTCACTTATCTTACTTGTTATCAGATAATAAAAGCTTGACAGCAATGTTCAAAACAAGAACTCCTTATTATCAGCTTTTTTAAGGCAACATCCGTATTCCCTTATATCTGATGTTAGTTTTTAGTAATTTCCCAGGTATCGTACTCAGACAGCGGCTGAGTGTGACGCAGACAACACAAGATTCTTCTCCACCCACTCACCTCGCTTGACCTGGCGAGTGTCAGTCTTATCTTATCACAGCAACCAGAGACAAAACACACAGAGGCGTCCTTCGACATTTTGGGAAAGTGGTAGATGAGAAGCTCGATACCACTCTTGTGTTTGTCCAGTGCAGCTACAGCTAACAGACACTTAGACTGACTGCACTTGGTGGATGGATGCAAAGCTTTTCTAGTCTTATCAAAGTGCTTTACAATGGAAGCCACGTTCACCCAAAAACACTAAGAAATGTGGGCTGGAGGAGCCGGGAATGAAACCACCGACCTTCCAGTTAGTGGACGACCCACTGTAGCTCCCCCTACCAGGAAATCTCAATAATGAATACTATAATAATAATAATAATAATAATAATAATAATAATAATAATAATAATAATAATGATAATTTTCCCGCTGCACTGAAGCTTACTGATGTCCTTCACTTTTTTTCTTGACTATGAACCGTTTAAAAGCCTCAGGATTAGCACAGATTTCTTTTGCTACAGTCTGCGCCTAACATTTGCCTGAGTGAAGCTGGTGACCACATTTGTTTTGTCCCCCCCCCCCATCTCCACTGTCTGTGCTCCACATTTCACCAATAACATGTACAGTTACAAACCTGTGGTCAGTCAGTCTTATCTTTATTCTTTCGTTGGCTGCTCACACCGACACACATTCACAGCCAACACACAGTTTGGGTGGTACAGTCAAGTCTTTGAATAAATACTGCACTTAAAGAACACAACCATCTAGCTTGGCATGGATATTATTGTACAAAAGGTTTTAATGCTGCTCTCAGTTTATAGTCCTGTACATTTGAACATCAACAAAAAAGAAGTGCAGACTCGGTGTTGGCAGATAACAGCTGATCCACCGTGCCCCTCGTCTACTGTTCAGATAAAATGATAAATAACATCACTGTGATAAAAGTCCACTCAGCAGCCAGTAAACATACAGGTAATTCTCTTCTTCTCAGGTGCGCTGAACTCTGTGAAGTTCTGCTGCTGCACGATGAAGAACTTGAATCTTTTTGAAGATAAAAGCAAAAGGACCTTCTTTCTCAAATTAACAGCCATGAATTCAGAACTCGAAAGTGAAAGGCTTTTCATGTGCACAGGTTACAAAACCAAAAAATCACTCCTGCATGTCAAATTTGATCTAAGTAGGAGTTGAAAGGTTTTCTGTGGAACGCTGCGTAGCGTCTGAGGTTGTTGTGTCCTCCGCTGTTCAGTTTAACAGCTCGGTGTGATGTACTTCTCATATAATATCTCTGACTAAATCATGGTGATCGCCAGGGTCGATCAGCCTGTGGACGTCTTCACTTCACAGGCTTCAGCACATACAGAATTAAACCACATCACTCCTTCCTGTCTGACGTACAGAGACAGTGAAGGTTAAGGTGCATGTTCAAATGTTAAAATCAGGCACAGCCTCTTAGGGGCACTTTAATTACTGCTTTACCTCGTCATTAAAGGGACAGTTTGGGTTATCAGACGTGAGGTTGTCAGTCAGTCAGTGAGTTGCCTGCAGCAGATTCAGGTCAGCGTCCTCTCAGGTCAGAGAAGCAGCAGGAGCATGAGCGACTGTGGACGAGGTCATCCACAAAAACCTGTTTTAAACATTTTTTTAAAAAATACCCACAGAAGAAAAAGTCTTCGTTTTAATTTGAATATTTTCACTTTATCTGCCGTCAAACAGCCATTTCCTTTGGAACTACATTTTCTCAAACGTTGAACCACCGTGTTCCTACGTCACTAAAATGTCTCTGTCTCCACACGACATGACTGAATGACATGACGTAGACAGAGACAACTGCAGTGGAAGGTCATCGACAGGTCTCTTCTCGGCCTCTTGCTGGGAGATGCACTAACATGGGCGATGCGTTACCGGCTTTAGCTCTGTCTGACTCTAACAGCTGATCCGCGGAGTAATACGGCGCGTGCCGAGGTTGTGCCTGTGCAAGGGTTCACGAACTGTAATTCCAAAGTAAAGGGCTGTTTGACGGAAAGATAAAACTGTGAAGGATTTTCAAAATAAAGCATAGACTTCAACTGGTATTAGTTTTTGTCTGTGGGCGTTTTTTAAAGTGGCTCAAACAGGTTTTCCTGCTGACCCTGGTGCTGTGCTAAACCGGCAGCACACTGATCTGAATCTCCTACACACTGACTGCAGGTAAACACCTCACACAACCCCACGTCTAACGACCTGGACTGACCCTTTAACCACATCACAGCTACAGTTTCCTTTTCTGGCACACTGTTCATGACCATGTGGTGTTGGCCTTCTGCTGTCACACGCGCAGCGACAACTCTCTTTAATACAAACATCTGTCTTTTTTTGTTGTTGATGGAAGAACAGTATATGGATTTTTACAGTGTTTGACAGTTACTGCATTGATAAAGCGTGGTAGTGCAACAGAGTTCGTCTAACAGGACAGAGCCTCCATCTGAGGCTGCACCGATTGTCTCTTAGGACACAGTATCTTTGAGAAAGCCCTTCGAAAGCTGCTGTGGCACAGAGGGTACAAGAACGGGTTGATGGCAGAGTTCAGCCACAGGAGCCAGAATGTGATCTCGTACCAGTGGTTTGCCACACATGTACCGCTGCAAGCCGCACGGATAATCATTAGCAGAGTGTAAGGAGCCCAGCAGATCCCAAAAGTGCAGACGATAATGGCCAAAGATTTGGCAATCTTTTTGTCTCGGGAGAGGCGTGATCCGTGCGTTCTGCGGCCAGGCGCCATGCAGGACGCCGTGTGCTGGAACAGCCTGGAGTGTTTTCTGTTAGGAGAGAACTTCTCCCTCTGCATGAATATCTGACTGGTGTTTGGGTCCCCGCTGGAGGAGGGGGACAGGACGTCGTCGTCCTCGATAACCGCAGAGATAGCAGTCGGCTCGCTGGACGACACCTTCCGCGTTTTGACAAAAAACACAGACCAGGCTCCTCCGTCTTTGTGCCTCTTGCTGTTCCTCTGAGCCTTGGCCTCGTCCTCGCCGCAGGCGCCGCTGCTCTTGTTCCTGCGGTGGATGTTCAGGTAAATGCTGAGGTTGAAGAAGGCCACTGTCACGAACGGGGTGAAGAACTCGAAGGTGGAGGCGCTGAGCAGGAAGTACCAGGTGTAATAAAACTCAGCGTAGCACTCGTGGGCCGGGACGATGCTCTGGCCGACGATTTCCTCCCAGAAGATGATGGCAGGGCCGTAGAGGAGGAAGGCCAACACCCACACTGCCACCATCTTGAACACGGCCTGGCGGGTCATGTTTCTCTGCGCTCTGTATTTAACCTGAGCCGAAAGAGAGGCACAAGAGTGAGTGACAGTGAAACAGCCTGAACATCAGCTCCACTACACGGCCACAGTGTTCGCTGCTCGCACACAGTAATAAGAGGCTGACAAACACTTCTGCTCTGAGCGTCTTGTTCAAACGCAGCCGTTTGTAATGTGTCGCCTCGGAGCAGCAGAGAGAAGCTGTGAGTGAAACCCTCTGCTGACGGTCTTATATATATACATATATATATATATATATGGGACAAGAGCCACATTCACTGATGCAACACAAGAGTGTGAAAGAGACATCCGGTTCCTCCCGACCCACTCCTCCCTCCTCATCATCTTCTCCTCCGCTTCATTTTCACTTCACCTCTCCTCAGTCTAACCTCTGTCACTCAGCTGGGCTCCTCTGTTTACCACTCTCTCCTGTTTCTGATAGTTTTTTATCTTTGCCTCGCCTGACATCATCGAATGTTTCTCTGCGGTTGCGACAGCTGGCTCTGTCAGCGTGAGACATTGATCCTGCTAAATGTGACTGTGGCTAAAGAGCAGCTTAAAAAATCCACTTTCTAACCGATTCTGGCTCCAGTCTCTCTCAGCGTTGATTACAAAGACACAGCAACACCCATTTCCATTTTAAATGACATAAGGCCTGGAGAAAATAAATAAGATTTCATACTAAGATACTGAGATTAAACCATGAATCAAAAGGAAATAAAAGTAGCTGCGAGAAAAGAGATGTAATTACCAAACGAAGCTTGATAAGCAGCCAAATAAAGTTCTTCCTCTGTTCATGTGGGGTCCATCAGTTTTAGCAGCACATGAAAATGATTTTTTTTTTTTTCAAAGTTTCATCTCAATCAAGCACAATTTAACATGTGTGCTGGGAGATCCTGAGATTTAATCTTGGGAAGAAATTTTCTATGTAAAAAAAAAAAAAATCCAAAAAAATTAAATGACCAGATATTGAATCTGGTTTTACACTGACCAATAAATATCTGGTTGTTTTTGTTTTCAATTAAAACTCTCTTTAATGGTTAAACTTCAGCTATTTCATCTTCAACTTGCATTAAGTTGAGAGGATCACCAGACCCTACATCCTACATTTCCCATGATGCAACTCGATAAGATCTCTGATTAAACCCCCTAAAGAAAACCTCGATACCAAACTGGAGATGACTCTGATGACATCACGATGACATCATCAGGGTTATCTTTTCAAACTTTAGCTGTGTCTGACATCACGCCCTCATTCACTCTCTTAAGGCTCGGTATGGTTCAGAAATTTGACACCGATTCCTCGACTTCTTAACGACTTCTTAACGACTGTTTTCAATATCGATTTTATCAAAAAGAAAATTGCAATGCACAGTACGGTACAAATTTGATTTTTACATTAGTTTTATTTTTAAGCGCGGTCTCTTTACACACTCAAACCTGTTAGTTTAAATAAACAGCCAATCACCAGCATCATTAGATCTTGGTCCAAGCATGCTCCGTGCTGATTGGCTCACTGACAATGATGAGACTCATTTACTCCTTCATTACTCCGTATTGAATTTTGGTATCAAATAAGACGTTTTTTCAATCCTTGGTAGAATCAAACCAATTCGATCGGACCATAAAAGTGTTGATGCCCAGCGCTACGCTCACTCACTACCCCCCATGTAAAACACACTCAGCGGTTTCCTCATCACTGTCAGCTGTTGATGTTTGTTGACGCCACTTTGTTTGTTCCTTTGTGACGGCACTATATAGTGGATACATACTCGGAGGGACACTACGGAGGGTCTTTGCTTTGCGTCACCAGATGTGAGGCTTCTGTTGCCTAGCAACCTTGAGAACATGCAACTTTCAATTTTTTGCAAAAACTTTAAGTTTTAAGACCTGTGATTTTTAATAGTTGAAACCAAGCATTTAAAAGTGTAATCCTCAGGCTCTCTGTTGGTGCAGTTCCTCTAACGACCACTAGAGTCTGGCTCCAACAGTGAGTCAGTCCCCATAGACTCCCATGTTAAAATGTCCAACTTTACAGCAGAAATAAACATGTTTACAGCCTGGTGCAAAAACTGTTTTGGTCTCTAGAGCTGATTTCCTCCTTCATGACACCTGTTTATAAAACTCACCTGTTTACATTTTATTAAGGATTAAGTTAATGGAGGATTGAGGGCGTGGCCTCTTTGAGTGACAGGTGGGTGAGCATATGTTTGCCACAAACTCTCCACACATGCCCCTCCTCTTTTACTATTTTTGGATTAGTTGGGAGTTAGGGGCGGAGTCATATGTTGCCAAGATGGCAACGGTGGAGCAGCTCACTCTGAGCTTCAAAACCGCTCTTCAGAAACCTGTGGGTGACGTCACAGAGGCGACGTCCATCTTTATTAACAGCCTATGTTTGGGCCATGAAGGATTCACCTGTTGGAGCCTTCATTGCCCAGGAAAAGAACGACGTATTTGAAGGAGTCTTCGAAATGAGATGGACGAGTCGCGCTGCTGTGACACAATCTTCAAGTGCAGCGACTGAATTGGGACACAGCTCGTGTGAACAGGGAGGGATTGTGATTTCAGACACAGCCTGTGTAGCGCTCCTCAAGTAAAATGAAGGTGTCAAAACGGTGGAGTGCTCCTTTAACTGAATTATAATCATCTGTTCAGACGGCTGAGTTGACTGTTAATGTGCGCATTGACAGTAGTTACTGACCGGATTAACCCAGACACTTTCAAGTTCTGTCTTTAGATTGACCGGATAAAATGAGAGATTAAAGCCAGACTCTCTATAGTGGAGGAACACAGCAGTGAATGTAAATGACTCCTCTCTGCAGAGCAAACTGCCCCAGGGAGGGACACCTCTTAGAATGGACTGTGGTAGTATGTCAGGTGTGTGTGTGTGTGTGTGTGTGTGTGTGTGTGTGGGTGGGGTAATGAGCACCTCCTAAGTCTATACTTACAGCCCTTGTGACTGACAGGAAGCGGTCATAACTAATGAGGACGATGTTGAAGACTGAGGCGGTGCAGAGCAGGTAGTCCACGACCAGCCACACCTTGCAGAGCCCCTTACCCAGCATCCACCTGCCTGTCAGGTTGTACGGGATGTACACTGGGATGCAGAAGGCACCTGGACCACACACACACACACACACACACACACACACACACACTGCATAATAATTCAGTCCCAGAAAAAACACAGCATCACCATTGACACCTCTCCACACAGAGACCTTTTACCTGTGACTAAAAATCACCTGGTCACTGCTTGTTCCCAAAACAAAACCACCGCAGTGAGAGAGAGAGAGAGAGAGAGAGAGAGAGAGAGAGAGAGAGACAGAGAGAGAGAGAGAGAGAGAGACGTTTAGAAACAAAAGAGAGAGAGAGAAGGCTGTGGTTTATCTCATGCTGCACAGTGAGCGGGTGTGAGAGCCTCATGAAAATAAAACACAGGGATGATACAGATACAACAACACTGGAGCATAAAGGATGTGAGGTCTCACTCACTATAATTATACTGCAGAAACATTATAATGTGTTTGGCGCGTGCACAACAAGTGTTGGAGTGGTTTTTCATTCATAGGCAGGAACAAAAGGTGAATTAGAGACAAAGAAGAAGAAGATGCACCAACTCACCCACGAGAAAATCAGATATGGCAAGGTTCAGAAAGAAGTAGTTGCTCTGATTCCTCAGGGTTTTATCCACAATAAAAGCTGTGATGACCAGCGCGTTCCCGGCCACCACCACGACAACCAGAGTCACCATCAGCACCGATAAGATCACCACCAGGTAGCCCGGGAGGACAGTCCCAACCTCGGACACCGCGGGAGTCAAGTTGCCGCTGGAGTTGGACTCCAGAATACGCGCGTCCATAGTTAATGTACAGCCACAGTCATAGTAGACCGGTTTCATCTCACGCACAGACACGAGGAGCAAGTCCAAGTGCGCGCCCGCACCTCCCGCTCCACTTCACCAAGGAGTCACACAGGGCTGAGCACCTGTGGTTACATGAAGACACTTTCTCCAAATCTCCCATTTTTCTTTCCAGGAATAGATCTGGGATCTGGAGAGACAGGCTGATGAACCGGAAGCTGCTTTTTTAATAAGGAGTAATAACTGTATCTCTGGGGGGGGGCAGCCCGGTTATTCCCAGTGTTGCTGCTGGATGTGCGGGCTCCGAGGAGCTCACAGCTGCTTTTGTCACATGTCAAGCCTGCGGGAGTGGATAATACGTGCTATATCCGGTCATTCTTTCAAAATAAACTTTTGTCGTTGAGGTTTATTTAAAAAATTAAAAACAAAATAAATATCGGAAAATTAATAAAAACAAGGTAAGGAGACGAGAAGCAAAGGAGAGGAAAGAAACAAATTTTAAAAAAGCGTAATGTGTTGAATTACAGCGACTGTTTCGTCAACACTTTACTCATCAGAGCTTATGATATTCAAAGCCAACATGTGGCTGAAGAGGGAGAAATAAAAAATAAAAACACAGCTAAAACATATAGGCTACATGTTCGTTTCCACCAATTCAAAATTACACGTAATTCAAAATGTGTTTTATGAGACTAAAATAAAAGTGTGACAAATTCCGGGCAACTTCCGGTCTTCATCAGGTGATTTCTGCGCACTTGACTTTTAGCTTCTTTTTTTTTTTTTTTTAATTCACCAAATCAATGTACAAGACAAGATAGGGAATGAATTTACAGAAATGAATAACATTCGATAAACGATGGTGGAAATGATAATAGGCTTCAGCACAGTCAAAACATAAACATGAAGATTTGGAGAAAGAAAGATTAAAACAAAATAAACATCTGAAAATTATTAAAAACAAGGTAAGGAGACGAAAAGCACAAGAGAGACAAGAAACAAATATAAAAATTGATTCTTGGTCCCAACCACTGATCAAAGGTTCAGGCTTTGATCAAAAGCTAAAGTGAGGCAAACTGACATGAAATGACCCGAGCTGCAGGAAGCGGGTCATCATGAGCAGATAGATGCTTACACTCAGCCTCAAGACCAGTGATCCAGATGTCACAGTCCTGATGAGTCAAGCTGACAAGACTGAGGACATGAGGGATAACCTTCCTCTATTTAGCCTTTCATTTAGCCCACAGTAGGTAATGATGAGGGATGTTTTTAAGCAAGACATCAGAACATCATGCAAAATGAAAGGTCAGTTTAATTTCAGAAGAAGCTGCAGCTTAGTCTACAGATCAGGTCAGGCTCTTGATCCGGATCATTACACCTTCGTAGTGTTTTCATTAAAGACACTTGAAAATCAAGGATGCTTGAAAAGCGTCGAATATTAAATAAAAACATATGAAATAAAAAGCATATAAAATAGGGCTGAGCAATTAATCAGAATATTATTCAAATCACAGGAGCTGCAATGAGTCACAGCACACCCTAAATGAAGCGTTGTGGTGCTACAGAGACCCCCAGTCTACAAATCATATTCTCCACACTTAAAGGAACATGGCTGTTTGCCACAAGCTCCAACTAAAATCACATCATTATCATTATTTTTATATTTTTTCCAGTGAAACTAAATAAATCGTGACTCTTATCACAATCGCAATATCTGCCAAAAATAATTGCATTATTATTTTTGTTGCACATCGTTCAGCCCTCGAATAAATTAAAAAATAAAGAACCAACACTGAAAAACATCTATCACTATTTTATCATAGATTTTTTTTTTTAATTTCAAAACACATTTCTTCAAAAGTTAGTTTTTGTGTTACAGTGTTTTCCCGGGTGACACTTTCCATGACGGTGAAATCACATGCTAGCTGCCAGCTAGCTACAGACTCCTTTATCTGGACAGTTATTAAGACTGTGTTTGATTAGCTGCTACCATTAGCACTTGCTCTTTACTTTGACACTGCCACTAATCCAAGTGTAATTATTCTCAGTGGCTGAAATGAGCAGGAAGCTTTGTGCGCTCAGACATGGAGGAAATCATTCAAATGAAATGTCCTTATTGGATCATGAGTTTTACTCCCTGAAGCTACTGAACACAGATAAAAGTCCTTTGTTTTTTATACCACAATAGTTGGGTTGAGGTGGTGGAAACGACCTTCCAAGTGCGCAGATGAACCCTGGACATTTTTAGAAAGCAGTGCTCTGCTGCCTGAAGCCGCCGCTGCAGTGGTTAATATGCAGATTGTTTCTTTCCAGGGATCAAGTGACACCAAAACAGAAAGGTGACAGAAACCCCACAGGAGCCGGAGGGAGGTGAACGCCTCGAGGGAACAAGCACCTGCGATGCGAACCTGAATATCAAGCAGGTCTCAAGTGGATGTTAAATGCAGTTGTGAACATGAAGGTGTGAGTGTTTGTGTCTGTAGACACGGCAACTTCATTCTGTCTGATCATATTTCTTGTACATGCTGAATGAACTGTGTCTGGATTTCATTCTGATCCAGATTCAGCTGAATTAACATTTACCAGAGCAAGGATCGTATCAACATCCACACAGTGAAGTGATAGAATTCAAAATGAACGGTGAAAAAATATTCATTCATTCAGGTGTGTAATGATCATGTGGCTCAATAATCCTATCGTGTGAGACTGATGGATATAAATAAACACCACACTGTTTATGTCAAGATCAGTTTCTATACAAATCCCCAGTTTGGTTGTTTTAATGAAAAAATGTTGTACTGTAAACATTTCATTCCAAGGCTTCCTTGTCAAAATGGTGCAATATAAATTCTAAGGTTAAAGCGACCAGCTGAAATAACAACTCAAAATTCCTTGGAGACATTTTAGTACCTTAGTTATTTTGAATAATTTATCTCTAATTGCATGAATCACCGCTTGTCTCCCTTTAGACGTTTCCGAATCAGCTGAAAACAACTTCTTCACTTAATTAAAAAGCAAAACCTGCACAAATGTCTCTTTTTCTTCTTTTGAAATTCATTTTGTCTTCTTGCTTTTTGGCCTTTTGGTCTTGGCAGCTGCATCCTGTGAAACAAGAGGAAAGGATTAGACAACGAACAGACTCATAATTATCTTACATCAGCGCTAACCTCAATGGTGCCAATGCTTTTTCCATGTTTAATATTTGAGTGGTGTTTTACAACCCCTGACACTTTTTGCCTGAACTCCTGCTGTGTTTTTCTGTGTTAGGGAAATGTGTAATTTATAATGTGCTGATTGGTGCGCTCCAAACTGTTTTTAATGTATTCTAGAATTATAAAAAAGGCGAGTGCAGATGATAATTCTCTAAAATACAGCAGGATAATAAATATTAAAATAAAACGTGAAAACTTTTAATATTCATACAGCTCTTTCATAACTCACATGGTGTTTGCACTCTGGCTGTGGAACAATTACTCTCCAGTCCTGTGTAAAACTGGTGGTTCAGCCCTTATTGTCTCTGTCCATTTTTCTCCTGGATCCGTTCCAAGTTTCCAGAGAGTTTATTAATTTTACATTTACCTGTGGTAAAATAAATATTTAATACTTATACACATACATCAGGAACTGACCTGAATTGTTTTGTTTCTCACTCAGACAATAGAAAGTTCCATGTTTACTAGATGAAGATTTAAACCTAGAGCTGAGGGTGTACCTCAAGGGTCAATTCTGGGTCCTATTTTGTTTCCTTGTAAATACTTCCTCTTTTCCAAGAGTCTAGGTTAGCAGCATTACTCAAGATGGCAGCGTCGGCCATGTCCGTCAGTCCATCACTTCAGGTTACATCCCTGTTTATCCAGAGTCAAATAATATATGAACCATTTTTGTGATTGTGTCATATTTTGTCTCGTCTTAGTAATGGCTAAAAAGTGTTTTCTGAGGTCACCATGACCTTTCACCTTTGACCACCAAAATCTGATCAATTCATCCTTGTGTCCCAGTGAATGCTTGTGCCGAAATTTGAAGAAGTCAAGGCATTTCTGAGATATCGTGTCCAAGAGAATGGGACATACGTACGTCCAACCCGATGGACAACCCGAAAACAATAGCTGGCTCTGACTGTCGCCGGCGCTGAGACATAAAAATCGTGACAACTATAAGACGGATTAAGGAACACTTTAAAACGGCGACCATGAACTGCGACATCCCCGGTTTGTATCCAGCTGGGAACCTTTGCTGTGTGTTGTTCAACTCTCTCCCCTTGTTTTCTCACATCTTCCTACTGTCATAAAACAATTACTTGAAATAGATTAACAGTTAAAACATGGATGGATTCCCACGGCATTCGTGGTTCCCAGTGGATGAATACTAATGACTTTGGTAATCATCTGATTTTGTCATTGGTTTATTTTTGGAATGACTTCCCTTGTGTGTCTTGTGGTTATTTTACTTTCTGTATTTCTCCCTAGTGGGTTTCACCTGTGTTCAGTTACCCTTGCCTCCCATGTGTATTTAGTCTCTGTGCTCCCTGTTCGCCTGTTTCCCTGTGTCTCTCGCTCCAGTGCTTAGATTTTCTGTTTTACTTCTGTTGAGTATCCTCAGTGTCTCCATGTGTTTCTGTTTTTTGGACTTGTGTTTCTGGGGCCTGTGTCTGCATCAAGTGAGACTTTTGAGTGTTTTCTTTGTTTAATAAATCACCTTTTTTCCTCCTTTGGATTCTCTGCATTTGGGTCTTTGACACTACAAAACCCAAAACCAGGAGGTGGACATTTGTAAGATATCTTGACAGCTTTTGGGTGGATTGCCATGAAATGTGGTTTACGTCAGGGTGACATCTGAACATCATCTCAACTTTAAACATCACATCACAATGTCTTTTGAAATGTTTAATCTTCATTTTTGACCCGTCAAATCAAAAGACCCTGGATAGAGTTCAGTCAGCAAAGGCCGACAAAAACTAAACTGTTTGTCTTGGATTTGTTTAAATGGTTATTGCTTATTTTTAAAGAACTTCATGAACTGGAAACAAGCCGTTCTGCAGAGGTTGTAAGTCCCTCCGCCTGCAGGCAGTGGCCTCTAATTCGCTGTCAGGATGGGAATGAAATAAAGTGTGGATTTGTACAGTAAGTTGATGGAGTTTTGAAGTAGGATACGTTTAAGAATAGGTTTGCAGTGCCTTTAATCTATCTGAGGCAGCAGCTCAAGGGTGAATAATGCTATCTACGGAATAACTTCGCAGAACACAAGCTTCAAAGCAGTCTGGACTTAACTTCAGGCTGGTGAACACAAAGAGAAAGTGTTTGATCTCCAGAACAAGTGGCAACCAGACACTTCAAATGAACCAACGTAACATGACAGCTGCTGAGAAGTTACTGTGGAAACACAAAGCGAGGCGAACAGACATTCTATATATCAATATAATACATCTATAACTTACCTGTAACTACACTGTTCAAATACCTCTGACTCTACGGCAAGATTGGGCTGTAAGTCAACTGAACTACAAGATACCAGATGGTTTCCAGCATCAGAAAACTGACACCAGAGTCAAACTTGACAGATGATGTGTCAGAGGAAGATGACAGAGCAATATATATAAGAGTCCCAGAGTGTGTCTCACCGAGGAGGCAGTGTATCCCTCCTCCACCAGGATGTTCCTCGCACAGTTGTTGATGTGTTTGAAGCGGTCAGGACCCAACAAAATACCTCCATACCATCGAGACACCACCACCATGACGTTACGCACGTCCAGGATCTGTGGTGAGAGACAGACGAGCTATATGTGAAATGAGTGTGAATTTGAGGGAGCCAGGAAAGAGACAAGTATATTAAAGTCTGACATAACAACATTCCCTGGCAGCCATTTTCAAGCAGCAAGATATTTCACACCAGATGCGATACAGTGGATGAGTCTTCATTACGTACACCTGGCTCAGCTGCCAGTCTAAAGATTAACAGTTGTGTGTCTCCCACACAGTTTCACTTTCATCTGTGTGTTTAATTTCTAGCTCCGGGACATGTTTAGCTTAAAGAGAAAATTCAAGGTTCAACTTATTCATCTGTAAAATCATATGAAATAAAACCATAACTGTAAACTCAAACAACGTAAGAATATAATCCTCAAACCAATAAGACATGTTCAAAATAGTCAACCATAAAAATACCATTAAAACAATGGAGTAAAAAAAACTGCTAAAACTTCTCTAATCAATATTTTTCTATATCAATAATGGATTAAAAGGCAATTTTAAGATCTTTTTGTTGCTGAGACTTGGGGATGTGCAAGAACTGTTTTTGTAATCACCAGTGGGTCAAATGACTCGATACAGTTAATTATCACCCTCAGCTCTACAGGCTGTTTCAGTGTCGTTTACCTCAGTTATGATTCTCCCGCAGGGAACTTTGCTGTTTTGGTTTGCAGCGTTCTCATAAGTGTTCTTTCCAGATGCAGCAGCCAGCTGTTTTCATCAATAAAGCTCAAACCATTGTACGCTACCTGTCCCACACCGACACCGAACAGCAATCAAACAATCTCTCAGGACGTGGTTCAGAGTACAAACAGAGCAAATAGGAAGGTGAATACTGGGCCTATTCATCAGGTGACTCTAAATGAATGCTAATGTTGCTTTTTATCTGTAAATAAGGCAATTGTGTGCATTTAACAGCAACTAGGTGTCTCCTTTGACTTCCTTGGGCTAATCTTGTCCTCTCTACTGAACATGCAGTGATTCATTGACATTAATCTCATCAAACTGCAAGTAAATAGAAAATAAAGTAATTCCACACATATCAGACTATTCCTTTAAAATAAAAGGGATGATTTGGCTCAAATGACTGATCTGTCATCTCATCTGCATCTGGCTGCCGACACTATTCATCACTATTCATCTTTTATTCATCAACTCACACTTCCACATTCACGAGCAGAGAGCACAAATATCAATGAGGAAACGGGTGTGCAATGAGATTTGAGAAGAATGGATTAAGGAGAAAGCTCTTCATGTAAATTGCTCAGCACACTGAGAGAGTCACAAGTAGAAGATTAATCAGTGTGTTGAGGGAAAAGCAGAAACACAGCGGACCTGATGCTATCACTCCAGTTACAGTTGGTCAGTCAGCTGCAGGAAGCGACCTGAGTGACCAGATAGTACGTCTTTTAATCTGCTCTTATGTCCACGTTTAAAACAAGACAAAGTGAAAACCTAGCATATGGCTAGTTCACATATGGGTGTGGGCAGGATGCCATTTGAGAACCCCCCCAGTCCAGGGCAGAATTTCTTTTCCAGTCTGACCATCTGCCTTGTCCTTTCCTCATGTGGACTCATTGGGGATGTGATCATACACAATAAACAAAAGCTTAAATGCTAATTTAACATACCAGAATTAAATCCCCATTTCAGCACCACGGACAGCACCACACGGCCACGGCCTGCCAAAACAATTATTCATAAACTCCAATATTTATTAGAAAATAATCTCAAAATGCGACAGCACAACGAGCTGTCAACATAGAAATAAAGAGACTATTGTCATAAGAGAACGAGCGCCGACAGTGAGAGTCCATTTCTGATTTTGTTGTTGTTTGCACTATAGACTGTCCCTGAGCGAGTACCTATCATTCATTCATTGAGAGAGACTGGGCTTACATATGTAATCAATCCTCACCAATGCCACCCGAGCTGTCCATATATATAAAACAGGGAAATTAGAAATACGAGGCCTGTTACCTTCTGTAGTTGAGGTAAATAAAGGTCACTATTTGAGGAAATACAGTGGTTGAATACAGTTGTAGATCCACTGATAACACGCCCTGATGAAGTAACTGAAACTGTTTGAATCAAATTGTTTTTAAGAGCAACAGCCAATGGGAAAAGTCCAACATTTGGCCGACCAATGGTGTAACTTCATCACTCACTCACTCAGTCACGGACTTTTGTGCATGCAGCACCCAAAAACAGCATATATGAGGGGATGTGGCTGAGTTTGCATTTGACTGATGTTTTGGTTTAAAACACTAGTTGTGTTGACAGCACCATTATTCAGATAAAAAGGGATAAAATACTAACTTAAACCTGGCCACTTTGGGACAATGCAACAAGCTAGAAACACAACAGTCATATTATCACTTTGTGCAGTTGATCCATATGTGTTAGCAAACTTTTTATCCATCCAGCAGACTCATTTGGACTCATGTTTCTGGCCATCTGACAACTGTGAGTCCAATACTCCCTCTCTTTTAGCTCTCCTCTGGTCTCTACCAACTCCTGGGGGAAACATTTGGCTCTTTACTTTATGTTGACCAGCTAGCCGCTAACTGTGTCTGTCTGCAGATGGGTACATTGTACTTTGGACTTATCAAAGCTTTTTCTTCAAAACAGTTGCCTGCATTTGTCAACAAAACTAATGTGGGTTGTGAGAGCGAGTCAACAGTCAAGTTACTGCCTTAAAACCAAAACAATGAGCTGAAAGACACAACAATGCTGAGTACAGCTGAGGACAACCACAGGGTTGGTGATAATTCTCTATGGTTTCCCCACTACAGACGACAACTTTCACGTTGCACACAGTCATCTGAGCCACTGTTGATATAAGAAAATATTATCAGGGCAGCTTTAATGTGAAGAGCCGTGACATATGCATGAGGCTAAAAATGTTTCCTGGGGCTGAAAAATAGATTAGAGATAGATAAAAGTTGCATACTCCTTTGCAAGCTTCAGCAAGTTTGTAGCATTTTTTATGAAAAATGTGTCTGACTGTTTTGGAGGGAACACTGTATTAGTCAAAGCTTGTTTCATCTGAATTCTGAGCAACAGATTGCTGTTTCTGACACACACCAAGAATCCAATGCAGTATTTCACACAGATTTCTCTCTCTAAAAGGGTCACAGCGGTCGAGCCGACTGCCGCCATCTTATGAATGAGTATGAACTTTAACTTGAGTCATAAATCTCATCTGGAAAAGCGCTGACACGACTCTGGACCCTCCGGTAATGAGGATCACAGAACGACTACAAGTCATCACCGAGCTCCGATTACAGCAAACTTTCTGTTTTGTCACAAACCTTTCACTGGCCTTCATTCAATATCACAGGGACACAAAAAGTGTGTGGACAAGTGCACATTTTCGTGTTGTGTGGGTGTGTGGGTGCGTATGAATCATAGTGTCATCTGACAGCACAAGCCAGTGACAAGTGCCTCTTTGATATGTGAAATGAAAAGATTAATAACTGTGAAGTTACTGTTGTGGGAGTGATTCTCCCTGGAGAGTCACAGAGTGGAAGTTTACACATTATGGAAATACTTGTGTTGTGTGTTTTACTTGTGCAGTCATGTAAAGACTCTGTGTAGTTAGTCATACAGTATGTTTCTCAAGCAGCACACTCACATAAATTAAAGCCTGGCTCTGGCTTCAGGATGAGCCACTCAACATGTTCACACCATGACTCTGATTCAGCAGAGACCATGATAACGATGTGCTACAATAAGATCAACCCTACCCGGCTAATGAACGTAACATGATGTTAATTACTTATCAAATATCGCAATTAAATCTTTCTTAAGCAAAGTGGTTTGACTCGGTGATGTTTTCATGATATAATGAATTTCAACTAATGTGACTAATGTGTGCAATTAGTCAAATAATCACTCAGCCAATCAAAAGATGAATTGGAAACTACTTTGATTGCTTTTGCCTAATTCATTTTTCCAAAACTTTTGCTAAATCCAGTTTTTCAAATACAAGGATTTTCTGCTTCTCTGTGTTATATCAGTTTAAATCAAGGAATTTGGGTCTTTGGACTTTTGGTGGGACAACACTGGGATATTGGCAGTTGGTCTAGCACCATCATTAGGTTAAAGTTTAAATATTGAACACTTTGGTTTATTATGGTTTATGAAAAATTGCAAAACTAATAACATTCCCATCAAATTCGGTTGTACTTTATTTATTATTATTTATGTTTATTGTTAAAGACCCCCTCCGATGAAAAAATACAAACAAATAAACCTGAAACCTTGTCAGTACAGAGAGAGGGAGAGAGAGTCAGCATAGCACAGCTGCTGACACTGTGTCAGCCACTGACAGTTACAAGCTAACAAACAACATAAACAAATAAAAGATGCTAAATATGCTAACCGCTCTGATCCGTCTGGTTCTGGTCTCAGACTCCTCCTCTGAGTCTGGGTCTGACTGAGGCTCAAACATGTGGCTGAGTCTCTCTGATGTTTCCTCCTCTCACCATCTTCATACTCTCTGCTCTTTCACCTGTGACCGAAGCCTTGTCAGTACAGAGAGCGAGAGTTAGCATTAGCACAGCTGCTGACACTGTGTCAGCCACTGACAGTTACAAGCTAACAAACAACATAAACGATTAACTTCGCCAACCGTTCTGATACGTCTTCTAGTCACCGATTTTGGTGCATAACAAACTCCTCAACAAACTCCTGAGTGGCAGGACGCGCTGCTCTTTCTCCTGTCAGTGAGAAAGTCACTTTTTATGAGGGTAAACCAAATTAAAAAATATATGAATCATAGCAGAGAATTTTTACATAGTTTAAAACATGTTATCAAATGCTCGCATGCTAACAAACTAAGATGGTGAACTCCAAACACTCTACTCATACTAACTGTACACAGAATACAGTCAGCTGGCAGTTTATTAGGTACACCTAGCTTATACTTTGCAGTTGTAGATAGTTATAATGTTCAGTGTTTGTTGAGGCAGTAAGTATTTGCTGCTGCAGCAGTAAGTAAGAGAGATGTTGGTTCAACTTTACCACAGACAACATGAGGTTGAAGTTGACTGTCGGAGGCAGTGGGAAGCTCCTGGCTCATAACTACCCCAGTTTAAAAGCCACAGCAGATGCCTCATTATGCAGACTGAAAATGAACGAGTCCGCCTGGAGCAGACACCAATTAAGGATGCAAAAGCCAAAGTAAAGTTGGATGCAGCAAGTAAATTCAGCAATGTTCTTCTGATATTAATTCTGGGAAAAGCTGTGAGTACTGCACTGATTCATCAGCTCTTCTGGCAGTTTTTTCCTTTTTAAGAAAGGCAACAATCAGTTTAGTATGCAGCAGAAAGAGTCATGTGTTTGGTGGAGGTCAGTGTTTGTGTTTTCTGAATAGAATGATAACCTGCAGTAAGTGAAGCAACCTCCCGCCTGCAGCTGTCTCCCCGTCGTCCTCGCAGTCCTGCAGGAAGCTGTGCTTATCCTCGCAGTAAATCCTGTAACACACACAGTCACAGCAACTTGGCATTAAAACATGTCTGGGCAGAAAACGACGCTGTGACACCGGCAGCCTCTTCATCGGAAAAGTTCTTTTTTTTTCTTTTTTTTTTAAAGTGGTCTAAATGTCAACACCCCCCCCCGTGAGTAATGACCACCCAGACAGTGCATCAGCAGCTCCACATCGACTTCATTAGACTATGCTAAAAAACACTTTCCCACACAGGCAGGCATAAGAAAACACACACACACACACACACAGAAAAACATACACTCACGTAATACACAACAGTCAGAAAAAACCTTCATTTCTTTTTGACCTTTAATTGCAGTAATGTGGCCTTTAGAGAGACAGCCAGGCCTTCGATCATCTAAACTTATCTCATGTTTTCTCCACTAATGAGACACGACATGAAAATACCCTGAAGCTGTCAGTATGATTTACATAATACAGTCATGACAGATATATCTACATAGTACCAGTCAAAGGTTCTGGACCCCACTGTGCACATATCTGCCCGTACTGACCTGTATGCATAAATATTATGAGTGGCACTGGCGATCTTCTTGTTCTCGTACAGCTTCTCCAGAACCATTTTCACCTGCATCACACACAACAGGTAGAACGATGAGCAACAGGACACATTCACCTCTTCACTCACACGCACTTCTACGTCAAAACACCTCAGACACTCAGCAGGAGCCATATTGTTTTCAGGTTAGGGCTCTCATTCCCGTGGACACGATATCTCAGTAACAAATTTGGCACAAACATTCACTCGGACTCACGGATGAAATTATTAGATTAGATTCATGTTTTGACTTATGATTAGATTTTGGTGGCTAAAGGTCAAAGGTCACAATAACCTCATCAGTTTTGGCCTTGTGAACACAATATCTCCATAACACCTTGAGGGAAATTCTCGAGATCTGGTCAAACATGTTTACTATATTTGCTTATTTACTGACTCTTCAGTCTAGACGCCTTATTGTATTATTTATTTGTCCTATTAACTTGATCTATTACTTTTCTTTCTTTTGTTTATGGCCATGAACAGCAGGTGTGAGGGCGGGAAGGATGTTTTATTTTTTGTGTTTTTCAGTCTTTACTTCAGACACTGTATCACACCCTACAGCTGCGGTACTGACGCAATATAAAAAAAAGGAAGTTGAAGATGATGCAGTATCTGTGCAAATGACTTCAACGTGCCGTCTGACTCATGCACAAAACAGCCTGTTTATGAGTCACATTTCATACAAACAAAACTGAGTTTGAAAGGCTAAAAATAGATTTTAACAGTAAACTACGATTCTGACTTTCCCTCCTCGGCCTCTCCAGTCATTTTTCATTTGTCTCAGTTAACGATGAATTTCATATTTCCAGTGCTCCTTTAAAAACACAACACCTCTGCAGTGTTTGTATTTGTGTCCCATTGCTTTCTGTTTCTAACTGATCCTCAGAGATCAGTGAAGGCAGAGTGTTTCAAGTGAAGACAGATGCAGTTTAGACATTAAGGTTTTTCTTTGAGAACTGAACACTTCCAGATTATTACAGGACAACATGTAAATCCTGTGCAGGCCTCAGTTTCTTCAGATCTGAATTAACAGCTGCGTCTGTAAATGTTTTAGTCCAAATAGCACTTGACAGCAGGTGGAAGCTTTTAAGACGAGCCGGTACGTTACTGAAAGGTCAGAGTGAGAAGATCACGCAGGAACGAGCCGGACGAGGTTTCAATTAGAGAAAAATCTTCCTCCTCTAACAGCCTCGAGGAATTTCTACTGAAACTTGAACAAGCTGATGAAAATAAAGTAATTTTATAATTTAGAAAAACAACAGTAGCTCATGTGCTGTACCTGTCTGGGAGTCACCACAGGTGCCAGGTGAGGCTGGAAGGTGCTGCGTCGGTCTGTGATGGGATTTCCGTGTTTAATCGGAGGCAGCTCTTCACCTGCACGATGAAAGGTCGGACGTCACACCTGTGAGTTGTGTTTTAATTTACATCTCTGAATCCAACACAACAAAACGAACGGTACCGTTCGTAGGATCCATGAAGAGATGTGCGTTTTCTGTGTTCAGCTTCAGAGTCCTGAAGTCAGGTATGTCTTCATCGTCATCGTCATCGTCAACCTCCTCAGACGTCATGTTCACCTTCTCTGGCTGATTCACTGAAGCACGTCGAGAAGAAAACATTATGTCTTGTTAAAGGAAACCTGGTGCAACCTGAGCAAAGTAATTTACCTTTACATGACCTTAACACTGACACAATGGTCACATGACCTGTTATACCAATCAGACAGTTCACAATGGATGATATAAATTACTAGAACCTAACTAATCTATCTATCTATCATCACATCCAGCCCCATGATATATAATCCAGGGTTACAGGGTGAGGCTGTTACATTTCTGTTACTGTCAATAAATCCTGGGAAAATACCTCAACCAACAATTTGTTAACCCTTTCTTCCAGCACTAGACAACTTCCCCAGCCTGTCTCTGGCTCTCAGCCCTGATGTCAGTGGTTCCTGCTGAAGATGTAAATCTTTGAAAATGTCAAATAAATTGGCTGTGAATCGTTCCCTCCTTCACTCCGCAGTGTCTAACAGAGACTCAGAAGTCAGCAGTGAATTGAGATTTCAGCCACTTGCTAATCATCATCATTCAGCGTCATCACTGACAGCTGCTGAGTCGCACAACTCCAATGTTCATGCCTGTAAAATATGGAGCATTGCATTGTGGGATAATAAGCAGAAAGTAGTGAACATGCCGTGGACATATAGAGGATTCAGTCACACACTCACAATTCAGACATGACAGACATGAATACGGTGCACTATCTGGTTCAGACACAGACGAACTTTCATTTTCAAAAAAGCCTCAGTAATGATCCTCAACCAGGAGGAAAGAGAGAGACATTTACTGCTGTGAGTCTTTGTGGCAGCAGGGTGGTGAACACCACAGCGGCTCACTGCTGCGGTTTGGAAAACAGTCAGGAGAATAACGTCCTCTGGGGACGGGGTCACGTCCTCCACGTTTTCACTGTTTCAGACAGATTTTTTTTCTTCCTAAACTCTCTGAATATTCGTCTGTTACTGTCCGACCACCACAGTCCACATGAGACGAGATCTGATGACAGTGTCGGTACACTCATCAGAGCCGAGTTCAGTTATTATCCTGCACTCACAGCGATGAGATGAAAGAGTTCCAGCTCTCAGGCGACATGGTGAAGGCTGCGGCTGAAACCAACACCACAGCTCTGTACTACGAAGCAGGTTCAACAAACCCAGGATAACGTTGAGTTATCTGGTTTAACTGATCCTAACATTGACCATCCTGGATTACCTGTACTGCAGAGCAGGTTATCACCTTGTTTTAATATGAGAAGAGACGCTGATACCTCAGTTGTATCGACGTCATGAAGTGAGAATCAACAAGGTGAAATGTAAATAATATGATCACATGACTAGATTAGAAAAGAAACAGAAATAATTTTCAATGATTAAAATCAGTGTAAGAATAAACTGTAAATAAGAACAGGTATCATTATTAAGTTATAAGTTATATTTATGTAGTTAATTTATATATATTAAGTTAAATAAAAAGTTAATGTCAGACTGTTTCTGCTGCAGAGAGAAGAAAAGTAGCTGATATCTGATGAGTCAGTCTGACTGAAATGTTCATTTATAATCCTGAAATATTAATTATATATATAATTATCAATTTAACAGTGTGTGGATCGTTGTTGGTTTAGTTTTTATTCTGAGCTGCAGTGATGAAGAAGAGTAAAAGCTTCATCCTGTCCATTAAAGAATCTGTGTTCAGATCAAATGAAGATATAATAGTTATTTTATTTCTATTTTGTGAGATAGAAATAAATATAAACTCTCCTCTGTTTGTTAGAGACCCTGTTTGAAAACCAGAGTGGACACATGGAAAGACTCAACAGGAAAACAAACACTGATTTATATAAATAGCTACTGATCCTATTATTTATCACTTTATTGTAAACTCTCTAGTTCCCATCAGGATCCGGTAGGAATGATGACTCAGTGTTTCCAGCGATCTGATTGGTCAGTAGTTTGGCGGGTTTTGATCTGATCCTCTGAAGTTAACCTGCTCCAGAGCAGGTTAGGAGTTCAGTGTCAGTTACCATGGTGATTTATCCCGGTAACAAGAGAACCACCGTCGTAGGACTGACAAGCCAGAGTTAAACCTGAAGTTACCTCGATAACCTCAGATCCTGCTTCGCAGAACAGACCTCAGAGCTCAACAAAAGCCTTTTTTTTTCTGTGAATATTTTTGTTTACGTCTGATTTTCTACTGAAGTGAATGAATGAATCACCTATCAGGGAAACTAACAGAAGTTAGCAGAGGATTTCACAGACAGTACTTGTTAGTTGGATCAATTCATTCAGTTTTTGATAATGAGAAAAACACCAGACATCATTTCATTTTCTCAACAACAAGTAACGGAGACCTCAGACGACCCAAAGACAGGAAATGGCAAAGTTGAGCTGGTTACAAATCCAGAAAGCTTGCTGTGATAATGTGAAGCTGTGTAATGTCTGCACTGTTTATTCTGTGCATGTACTGACACACGCATGCACGCACGCACGTACGCACGCACGCATGCACACACACACACACACACACACACGCGCTGCCAGAATTAATCTGAAGTACGTGGGCCTTCATATTTATGTGAACAAATCTCTGCTCTCATGTTTTTTTTTTTTTTGCTCTCATTCAACCGAACTTCATCATCAGACCCATTATTTCTCTTTACTTTTCATGTCCTCGCTGTCATGTTTACTCCTCTTTCATTTCCTTTTCTGTGAAATGTGGGTCTTCAGCCTTATCACCCCCCCACACACTTCTCTCTCTCTCCCTCTCTCTCCCTCTCTCTCCACCATGTCTGTGTCATTTGAATGGGAACAAGCCGTCAAACCTGCAGCTCTGCGCTAAAGTGCTGCAAACAGTCACACTTATTACCACATGCTTTGCAGAGAGAGGGCGATTTGTGCTCCACAACAAAGAGAAGGATAGTTAATGTTTTTCAGGCTTCTTGTTGTTGTTATCAAGGAGACCATCTGCCTTAATAATAAAACACTGCTGGTCTTGGCTTTCGGTAACAGACGACGTTACATAGATATCTATCTTAATTCAGTCAGACACAGCAGGGTTTTTTAACGCCCCTACAGGCCTGTTCGTCGAACAGCTTCAGATCACAGCAGATAGCTGGATCACTGAGGCAGGAGCATCTCAGCAGAACCTCCATGGACGACAGTCCATTCATCTGGACTGTTTGTTTTAAAGAAATGATCTAATATTTGACCAGGTGAAGAACAATGTGTTTGATCAGACCTGGAACTGGAAACAAGTCAGCTACAGAGTGTTAGCATTAACATTAGTTCATGCTACTAAGCTACAGCTGCTAAAACTTGCGACAGACAGTCGTCATTATTAGTTATTGGTTAAATATGAGAAGCCTGATCTGTGGACAGTGAATTTTGAGTGGTGCATACGCTGGACAGGCGTAGCAACAGTAACTAAGGGGGACAGGCCTTAACAACCTTTCAAGTAAAACTAATGAGTGCAATAAAAATGCCTGCACTCGCTGCTCTACAGCAAGCTCTGCTGCGCTGATAAGCGTCTTTCAAGTGTCATTTCAAGCCATTATGAACTGCTCATAAAAGTGCGACCTTCAAGCAGGAATTTCATTTTTCACACCTCACCTGTTTCCGAGCTCTGGGATTTCTCCACCAGGAATTCTCTAATTTTCTCCACCCACAGGTAGAGGATGCTCTCCCCCACGTGCTCCCTGTGGAGATTCAAATATTTTGAAATATATGAGGGAGGACCCTCAAAGAGACACAGACTGCCAGGGAAACAATGGTGAAAGGCCTTTGTTGTCACTCTACAGTACGTCCTCATGAAGTCAGACATTATGAGAGGCACTCACACATAGAGGTCTTCCAGGCTGTTTGCCAATTTGGCCCTCTCAGGGCCTCGCAACCACGCCGCACTACAAAAGCCGAGAACAAACAGAGGGTTATTGAGCAGGACGAGGAGTGGGTTTTTGAGTGGCATGTTGTTGTTCCATCAGTTCATCAGATCGCCTCGAGATTACGTTTGAAAGGCAAATTGACTTACTTGATCTGGTAGATGGGAGGGGCTGCGCTCGGATAATCGGGCGGGAGAATTATCTGATCAATTAGGGGGAAAAAAAGCATCATAAACGTGATTAAGAACAAACTGCAGAGACGGACACGTGACTGATATGTAAGGTTTTTTTTCCTCTACCTGTAAACATGCTGTCAGTTTGGGCTCGTCTAAGTCGTTGGATATTTTGATGCAAAATATTCTGGATGCTTCATCAATAACACACCATTCATCACCGTATATGGAAGACAGAGCCTCCACCTCTTCAATCTGAAGAACAGAAAACCATAACAAATACAAAACATCAATGTGGGTCTGTAGACTTCAAGTTTGAATTAATCCATAAAGTCATTTCAGCGTTTGGACCAGTGATGTGCTGAAAGCTTCGACTGCACATACACATCCACAGCACACAATACTACACCACGGCTTTAACGCTTCTGCTTTAATCCTCAAAGTCTTCCACCATCTGGACAATAAAAATATTCCCTCTGCTGCAGGACAAAAAAAAAGACTTTTAACTAATTCCACCAGTTTTGATTCTGTTTCATAAACTCCCCAAAAAAAGGTGGAATAAGGAAATTACATGTTTGTGCTCAGTTTGTACATTATATTTATATTTATATCAGTGTAACCTATTATTCTTTTATATTTTCTTACAAAATAGCATGTTAATATTCTTTTGTCAGACAAAAGGAGCAAAGAGACGTGACACCTCTGGATACCTGGACAGGAAATGTAGTCGAAGCTTTTTATAATGTGCTACAGATAAAATATTTTTTCATCCAAATGGTCAGAAGTGTCCTTGACGGTTGTGGAAATACCTTCAGAACAGCGGTACGTGTTGTTAAACAGCCTCCTGTGATTTTCAATGATTTCCTTTTCCGCTGTGATCTGAATGTAATGTCAGTGCACGAAGAAGCACGAGCTGGAGCTGAACTACACGACAAAGACTCTGGGTGAAAAAGAAGCTCCGTTAAAGCTAAAGGTTTAATGATGTCTCCTTATAATGGTGTTAGTGTGTGTTGTTTTCTCACTCTGTTTTGGCTGCACTGTGCTGATGTGTGGCCTCTGTGCAGCCTCAAACATCACAGGCGTCACTGTTAATGAATCCAAGCACCTTGGGAGAAACCTGCAGTGTGTGTGTGTGTGTGTGTATTCCTCTTTACTTTATGGTCTGTGCACAGTTGCTCATGCATGTGCATTTTAATTATAGCACCATTGTGATTCTCAGACTGATATTGAAAAGGTTTGTTTGTGCCATTCATTTCAGACCTGTCAGCTGCTGGACCTTTGTCACACCTGCCCACAGCTGCTGTGTGTCCAATACGAAAGTAAACAGGCAGTAAACAGGCAGTAAACACAACTTGTCAGCCTGTGTTGAGTCTATGAGAGGTCCTCGGAGGACAGACATCTTACTTGAGACTGAAGATCTCCTTCATTCTCCGGGTTTAAGATGTCGGCCATTTGTTCACTTCATCACCGAGTGTCAGCTGTTAAAACGTGAAGAAAAGAGAACAGATAAAACTTAAAGCACGTGAGCTACATGTATAACTCCAGCCTGCATGTGTGGAAGTATAAACTACTTCCGGGTTTTTGTCTTCCGGTTTCCACCACTCAACAAGAGACGAGGCGCTTTGGAGCGATTTTGCAGCACAACGAACGAAGCAGTTTCCTGTTTTTACGATTCTTCGTTAGAGCGCACGTGACGAGCAGCAGCGCGCGCGACTTCCATTTTTATTCTAATGCTATTCTGCGTTTGAAATAACTTCCCGAGCTTTTATTTTGAAAGACGCGAGCGATCTGCCCGGGTGACTTCCGTCGAGCGGAGATCAGCTGATGTCAGTGTAAACAGAAAACAGAGGTATGCGTGTGTGTGACACAGACAGCTGGATTCCGCCATCGGTCAGATCCGCGTCGGTTGGAGACGGTAAATGAGGAGTGTGTGTGTCAGTGTGTGTGTGTGTGTGTGTGTGTGTGTGTGTGTGTGACGGTGTGATGTCGGTGCTGCAGTAGAGCAGCAGGAAACGGCTCAGAGGGGCTTAAATCATCACATGCAGCTTCACCGGGGGCCTGAGTGAGAGGACTTCACCTCACTGGACTGGACCAGCACAAACAGTAAGTGACTGACTGGCTGTTTTTTTTACAGGCTGCTCATCATTAGGTAATATACTGACACAGCAGCCTGTCTGTGTCACCTGCTCACAGCTGCTGCAGACAAACACCTGGCTTCATTTGTCTGACTGGGAGGAAAATAGTGCTATGAAATATATAGATTACATATGTAATGAGTTCATGTTTATTTGTGATTGTTCCACAGAATCTGGGAAAAACAAATGTAAAATTATCATGTAGCACTGGTGGAGGAAGCAATGTTTTAGTAGAAGTTCCCATACACTGTAAACATGCAACATTACAGTGAAAACCATAATCCTAATCCTGTTTAAGTACAAGTACAAATACTCATTCTGCAGAGAAAGACACTGTGACTGATTTATTATATATCACATCTTAATTGTTAATATTGATGTAAAAATGTTCAAGTAGCATTTTACTGTTGTATGTTTTTTATATGTATATGTGCATATGTTTATATATTTGGTGGTTCATTCCAGTGGTTCCCAATCAGGGTTCTGGGCCCCTCCCAGGGGTCACAAGACAAATCTGAGGGGCCATGATTAATGAGAGAGAAGAAGAAGAAGAAAATTCAACACATTAGTTTGAATTGTTTTGGACTTTTTAACTTTTTCTTGTGTAAAACTTGATACTTTGAGATACGAGGGAACGTTTGCTCCAAATATTATAATTCATTATAATCATCAAAATAGTTGGCAATAATTTTCTGTCAGTTAAGTAATTAATCATTTCAGCCAAATGTCCATTTGTAAACAACAAACAATATGATCTGCCTTTATTGATTTTTTAGAGAAGCACATCGCATTAAAAAGCATTTATAAAGAAACACTTACATTCGTTTATTAAAGATTACAATCATTTTGCAGTTGGAAAATAAAACAGTCAGAACTCAAACACGAGTCAAATTAAACGACAGATCAAACACTTTGATAAATGAATAAAAACACAAGTGAAAAGAGATTTTATATATCGACAGCAGACACTTGTTCTGCTCTGCAGTCACGGTGTGAAGAGGGAGTGTCTGAACGTCTGTTACTCAGACTGAGCTGACAGTAGAAAGACAGGCTGAGTGACCGTTAGTGTCACCTGCTCCACAGTCCCAGGTAAACCTGTTTCAGAGCCAGCAGACGTTTTCTTCCCCGTGCTCTGCAGACGTCACGGTGACGGCGTCTGAAGTGTGTTCTGTGCTCGGTGCGGGTCATGAATCTTCCTCTCAGCCACATGACGGTTCATAACACTGCAGAAAGAAAGTGCTCTCTTCTCTGTCTGTGCAAACCAGTGTTGTGATCCAGAACGTCATGTGGACCGAGGCGGGAGGACTCGTTTCCTTCCTGTAAGGCTGGTGACTGACACCTTTTGTAATAACTTTGATTTCCCTCTTCTCTTTTTACTCAACTCCTGACACAAGAAACTCTTGTGACTTTTTCCTCATGTGTTCTGAAAAGGGAAGGACAGTAAACAATCAAAACTCAGGCGACTTCTCCACACTGAACATGACTGGACGGTTTTCAAAGGTTCAGTCCACTGATTTTACACATCAAGTTCAGTCGACTCATCACAGCCAGCACTAAAACCACTGGTCAGCTGGCTGAGTGTTGGAGTTTCCTCATTGGTTGTTGTTCTTTCAAAATTGATAGTCACAGACTCAGAGTTGCCAACTTAGCGCACTAGTCGCTCGATTTAGAGACTTTTTTTTTCTTTCTTTCTTTTTTAAATAAAATCCCGAGTGACAAATCTACCGACTTTTTGGACAAACTGTTAGAAGAGAGTCTCCAGAGAGGCAGAGCAGCAGTCTGTGACCCAGACGAGACTGTGCTCTGTCTGAGAGACAAAATATACAGAGAGATGTTCTGTCTCTTCTAACTTTCTCTCTGACTGATTTTACTGTGAATCCAGCTGAAATCACAGCTCAGACTTCGTCTTTCATTTATGCGATTGGTGATTTTTGTCGGACGACGTCGTGGTAAAATTTTAGCAGCAGCTGGTTCAACAAGAGAAACAGAAAAACGTGAATGAGAACAGCTTCATTGTGAATTCATCTGTATTAAAATAATGTATATGTGAGCACAAAGAAATGAAAGCAGCTGACACTAGACTGAACGCAGGATATTTACAGCGACTCCACAGCAGTTTCAACTATATCCTCACTTTCTCTTTAAAGCAGCATAAATCTCCCGTAGCTGCTGGATTTCTTGTCAGAGACTCAGAAATGTGTCCTTCTGAAAGAATCTCTTTAATCACTGTTGAGTCACAGAAATAAAAAGCATTTCCTGTGCAGGGGTCCATGGAGGAGCTGGACCCAGAGGAGCAGTTCCTGCGCTGCGCCAGGAACGGAGATCTGCCTGGGATCCAGAAGCTCCTCATGTCCAAGATCAGAGAGGAGACACAGATCAACATCAACTGCAAAGGTACATGATCACCACATGGGAGTAATGTCTCCGTCACAGTCTGTTGGTGTAACGCAGCGTGTAACGTTTCCTCAGGAAAAAGTAAATCCAACCTGGGCTGGACGCCTCTTCACCTGGCCTGTTACTTTGGACACAGAGATGTGGTGGAGGAATTACTCAAGGTAGAGTGGAGGTTTTAAATCCTGCTCCACCATTCTCTAGGTGTTGCATGAGTGCACGGGTAACGAGTGTGTTGTTGCGCTCTGCAGGCGGGGGCAGACGTCAACTTGCCCAATAACATCGGAGACACGGCGCTGCACAAAGCCGCCTTCACAGGAAGAAAGGTACCTGAATGCATCGTCACTTCTCCTTGCAGATTTTAAGTTTCCTTCTAATCTTTGCGTCTCTTTGTTGATAGTATGATTTTGTGCATGCATTTATTCATCCATTCAGTCAATCAATCAATCAATCACTGAATCACGTATTGATCAGGAGGTTGTCATGCTGCTGCTGCACTATGATGCATGCGCTACTGTCATCAATGGGACAGCACAGATTCCCAAAGATGTCACTCAAAATGCAGAAGTCAGAAGCATGTTGGAAGGTGAGAGAGACGTGTCGTCATCTAAGAAATTTCATAAAAGCTTTTTTTATTGTTTATGTTGAATTTTAATATTCATACAATTCGTTTATATAAAGTGTAAATTCTGAAATAGCACATTTTTCCTTGTTCGCCTCTGACGCCAGCGGCTGAAAGAACAGAGGAGAGGAAACTGGAGGAGAAACTTTTGGAAGCTGCACGAGAAGGAGACCTTCCAACTCTGAATCAGCTGGTCAGTGTCACATGTATTTAAATCTCACATTTTGACCAATGAGGACGTGGAATGTCTGGAGCTTGTTTGGGGTTATTCCTGAAGTTAATGTGGTGCAGGAAAAGGAGCAGTGTTAAATTCACTTTAGATTTATTTGTATCTGAAATGACAGTTACACACTCAACTGTCTTCACATGTTCACAAGTCACGACAAGTCCAGGCGGCGACTACGCCCTCGTTAGTCACAACAACAGAACTGGCAATGACAACCTCATTAATAAAAGCTCTGGAAAAAACTAGAATCACCTCCTCGTGGTTGTTTCCCTCCTCCACTCAGACCATCCCTGTTTATCCAGAGTCACATAAAATATTAAACATTTGTGTGAAATTTTGTGATTGATAAATTGATTAATGATTAATGCCTAAAAAGTGTTTTGTGAGGTCACACTGACCTTTGACCTTTGAGCTTTGACCATCAAAATCTAATCAGTTTGTCCTTGAGTCCAAGTGAATGTTAAATTTAAAGAAGTTCCCTCACGGCGTTACTGGGATATTGTGTTCACAAGGCCAAAACTGCTCTCTGTGAGGTCACTGTGACCTTGACCTTTGACCTTTGACCATAAGTTACAAAAATATAATCACTTAATCCTTGAGTCTCAGTGAATGTTTGTGCCAAATTTGAAGAAGTTCCGTGAAGGCGTTACTGAGATATCACGTCCACGAGACTGGGATGTGCTCTGAGGCAGAAAGGGATGCCTGTGGGAGTCAAGTTTTCCCGCCTTTAGTCACAGTGAGAGAAATTAAAGAGTTACGCTTCAGGTCCTACTTTCACTCCTTCATTTCTTAATTGCATGAGAGGAAACCCACAACACTTGTGTCCACACAGCCTGTCGTCTGTTCTCGTCCCGTGTGTTCACTGTAGCTCAGCAGGAAGAAGCTTCCAGACATCAACTGCACAGACCTGCTGGGTAACACGCCGCTGCACTGTGCAGCCTATCGCGGCCAGAGGCAGTGCGCCCTGAAGCTGCTGCGGAGCGGAGCCAGCCCCAACATCAAGAACAAGAACAGTAAGACGCACCAGTCACAGCTGGAGTCAGAGTGTCACAGCGATGTGTTGCTGTGGAAACAATCCAGAATCTGTTTTATAGTTTAATATATGTTTTATGTAGAATATTTTCAGCTCTTTATCTTCATGTGAAAACAGCACTTTCCTTTGGCACTACATTTTTTTCAACCGCTGAACCTACGGCGTGCACTATATCACGCCGCTTTCTGATTCACTCAGCTGACCTGCGGCTGACCTGCGGCTGCCCCGCGTAATACTGTTTTGTACTCAGTAGGTGCGTAGGAATACGTTTGGTTCAGCGGTTGAGAAAATGTAGTCCTGCACGGCGGCTGTGGTGGTGACTGGCAGGATTTATCGTTTGGGGGCGGGGTGTAAAAATTTGAAAAATAATTTTCATTGGACACAAAATTACCAGTAGTTGTACCAAGTATGTATTCATCCTCACTGGAAAATAGTCCCCAATAATTGCACTAATTACTCCTGTTTGAGAAATGTTAGGTGAATACTACAGTGACCAGCTGAAATCAGTTTAATCACTTTTAAACATGAAACTATGATTTACAACTGAAGTAAAGGCAGAGAGAGCACTGAGAGACAGACTGATGTTGTTGGTTTACATCTTTTCTTCTGCAAGAAAAATCTAAGAAAAACATGAAATAACACCAGGCTCATCTTTTCATAAACCATACGTCTTCACATTCCTCAAAGACCAAATAATTAGATTCCTGGTCTTGGTCTGAACTTATTTCACAAGGTCTGTCTCCATTTTTTCTTCACTCAAACAAAAATATCACCTGACTGAGTGAGCGGCTTTCGTTTCTGCAGAAATGGTTTTTAACATTGAATTATTTTTGCCAAAACAAAATGTTATTTCTTTGACTTTTTATCAATGTTAATAACACCTAGACAGTACTGTCCTCACTGTGTGTGTGTGTGTGTGTGTGTGTGTGTGTGTGTGTGTATGTATGTATGTGTTGTGTGTCCATAACGCTCAGACCAGACAGTGTTTGACCTGGCCAGCGATACAGCAATGAGGCAGGTCCTTGAAGGCAGCGTTCATCGAGTGAGTCAGACAGTCGACTTCCTTTGATTCGTTCTTTGATTTGTGTTTTTACTTTCTTCATGTCTCTTATCTTTACATTGCAGGGTATGACCCACCACGTCAAGAAGTTCGAGGGACTCCTGTGGAAGGTGAAGTCAGGGAGAACACAGTCCATCACACAACAAAACAGAGATATTATCTTTATATGTTGCATTTAGAGACGCTCCTTCAGAAAACTTCAGCAAACACACACACGTTGCGATACGTTTCGTAACGTCTCATATTATCCACATGACCAGGTCACAGCACGAGTTTACAATCAGCAACTTTAGCATTAAAAAAACAGGTGAACTAAAATTTTGTCGAAGCTTCATACACAAAGCTACAGTAAATTAACTACACAGTTTATCTACTACTGCTCCTCTACATGTCAACAAATATTTCATTTAACAACACATTAATGTCATCTTTATTGTGATTTTATTATAATTGTACAGTGAGAATATGGCTGAGGGCCTGTCAGTGTGTTTTTAATTAGGATTATAATTATCACATGAGACACTGCACAACCTCCGTGTGAATGTCGTTTTAATTATTTAGTGTTTGTCAAAAGAATCGAGGATAAAACTCTGCCTGTCCCCAGGGGTTTAAATGCTTTTATTCTGAAAAATAACATTTAAAAGAAACCGAATAGTGTCAAGAAAAGCTGAAAATGAGAAGATTGCAGCTGCTGACATCCATTTATTATTATTTATCAGCTGTTGCCTCTGCACATACAACACCTCCACAGCACACATGCCACCCCTTCCACGCGTGAACTCTCTTCTCATGACATTCAGTCTGTGACACTGAGATGCTGCAAAATGTTACACACACTGCAGGTAGTGTAAGTTTTTGACGCGAGTGAGAAAAACACAGGTGTAACTAATAACCTTAAACGGCACTTAACGAATGCAGACATCAGCAGAGTCGTTAAGGACTTTTAGTCTAGTTTATTATATAATGGCTGAGTTTAATTTGGAAAAAGTAAACTAGCAAAGACGGTAGTTTGTATTATTGTTGCGGCTGGTTGACGCGAGGTGCTGGGACGCCACATCTGTCCAGTTATCTATCCACAGAAGAAAGGCTACACAAACATGTTTCATTAATTAATTAATTAATTATATATATATATATTGTAAAAATTATTATGAAATGAAAATAATAATCATGCCATGTGCCTCGTAATCATGTCAGCATTTATTTAAGAAGTGGTACTTTACCTGAGCTGAGCGTTGGTTAACATCACCTTTAGTTACATCCTGTTTTGTTTTCCTGCGTCACTGAAGTTTTTAAGCACCAGCCGCTGATGTTGTCGACATGAACACAAATTTAAACCTGTAATAATATTGTAATATTTATTTCTTTATTTATTTCATTATTTGTTCTGTTTGTGGTTGTAAACACAACACTGACATATTGACACATTTTAGCTGGTAAGGCTAACATGTTAGCAACAGTTACCGGGAGTCATGTTTCTGTCAGATTGGAAAATGTAAGTCCAATATTCATTCTCATTACAGCTGTTTTTAGTCTCCACCAACTCCTGATGGAAATGTTCAGCTGCTAAAAGCTCCACTGCGTTGACAGCTAGTTGCTAACTTTGTCTCTCTGCTGGTGCTGGTGGCGTACACTCAGTTTTATGTGGTAAAATATTGATAATTGCAGCTTTAAGGACGCAAACCAACAATGAACTTATTGTATCCTGATAGCAAATATTGTTGCAGTTGAGAGACAATCCCTCATTACAATGAAAAACAACCACTGTAGTTCATTTTGACTCAGTTGCACTCTCACTGTCCTCATGCTGGAAATACTAGTACACCAAATGTGTAGTAATCCCAGTTGTAATTAGCACTTGGATTCTGTGTGAGTGCCATTTAAAATTCAGAAACAGGCAATTAGGGCGGCTTCCAGGAACCACAGAACTGAAACCCCTAAAAACTGACTTGATTTTCACTTCTTGCTGAGAAATCAGTGTGAGAACGAACCTCGACAAATCTCGCTCGTGTGTGTGTATCAGAGCTGTTCTGTATCTGCTTGTTTTGAGCATTAGCAAAGCCTGTCTGAATGGAGCATAAGGATCATGTGTTCTCTCAAGTTGCTGCGCTCACCATCAGCCACCATTCAAATCAAAAAACACTGAACAGTAACAGAAATCACTGAGAATCAAACCGCTGGTTCTTCTCCTGTGTGTCGTCCTGCAGAGCTCCAGGTTCTTTGGCTGGCGCTCCTACTGGGTCGTCCTTCAGGATGGAGTTTTATCCTGGTACTCAAAACAGTAAGTGCCATATCTCACCTGGTTCTTGAAGCAGACATGTGGAAACACCCCCACTAAAGATAAATGGAAGTACTGCACACTTTTGTCTGGGAGGGTGGTGGAGGTGATTTTATACCTCTGCAATATGTTCCTGCAAAATGAAAAGACCTCATCATAACAGATCGTTCTCTTTCATATTAAGGTCGGATGCAGCTTCTAATGTCAGACGTCAAGGCTGTAAGTCCCTGACACACGCCCACTGCTTGGTAAGCCAACACTGACGGACTGCACGCAAGTTCTTAAACCACTGAGTTGAATTTGTGTGTGTAACTTTCTCACCAGGCGATGTTCTCATTCCCAGATCAGAGCCAAGGATCACTGCTTTTTTACCCTCAAGTGCTTCGATGACAGCGTGCATCACTTCAAGGTGTCGCCTAAAAACGACCCCGAGGCAACAAGGAAAGTGAGTTTCACTCCTGACTGTCTTTGACAAATTATTAACATTTCTTGTAGGTCTGTTTTTACTTGATACATTAATATATATTACCTGGTTAGTGACCATTGATTGTACACCACTTTTCATGATGCATTGTGGGATACTATGACGCCACTAGGATATGTAATTCTCACTGTACATTCAATGGTGAATTCACTATATAGTGGAGTAAATAAGGAGACGTGAGGGATTTCAGACACAGCCTTTATCTCCAAAGTCATTCTCTGACTTTGTTCTAGAAGGTTCCACCTGTGAAGCACCAATCAGAGCTGAGAATGAACACAGGAGAACCAAGAGAACCAATCAGCTTCCTCGTTTTTACCGTGTCAGCTTACTGCTCTGTGACGAAGCATTAAAGGAGCGGGAAGATTATTAAATGTAGCTGGATCTAATGTTGATGATTTATCAAAAACACTGTAAATCGTACTGACAAAAATTAGTAATTTAGTCATATCTGAACAAGCTGATTTTTAACATTACCCGCAGAGCTAGATAGCTAGCTTGCTAAGGAGAAATACATAGCTCATGCTAAAGATTGTTGGCAAGGAGCACTACTATTATTTGTATCTCACAGCAGTGAAGAAAATAAAATTTTAATATGTAATCTGAGATAAGTTCAGTTTCTCGCTGCTGGTTGTTGAACATTTTAGCGCTTTGATGCTAACTGTACAATGCTGCCTAACTTGATTTAGATGTTTAAAACTTCAAGCTAAATTTTACCGTAATGTTTATTCAGGGGGAGAGTAAGATGAGAAAATTCATACTACTCTCATGTCTGTTCAGCCAACAGCCACTTAGTTTAGCTTATTTCAGCTTAGCTTAGGTTAGCATAACAACAGGAAACAGGCAGAAACTCTTTAGTCTTTACTCTTCAGTCTTCGTACGGATTAAACATAACAAACAAACAAACAAAAAACCTTTTAACGTGTCAATTCGTAAACTTTAGAGGTGAGAGAGCCAGGCTGTGTCCCCCTGTTTACTGTCTTTGTGCTAAGCTAAGCTAACAGGCTGCTGGCTAGCTTCATGTTTAATGGACAGATATGAGAGCAGTATCAATCTTCTTGTTTGACTTTTCTCTAAAACGCAAATAAGCATATTTCCCATAATAATACATAGCTAAACTGTTGTCAGTGCCAGTGTCAGAAATATCTTATATCATAACTCCCTTTTAGTTGTTATTAATTTGTTAGATTTTTTTCCTCTTTTTTAAAACTTTGGCAGCTAGCTATAATTATAGTTTCATTATGTTATTGTATCATAACCTCAGTTGTCAGTATTAGGTTCTATCTGTAATCCACCTGATGTAGACAAGCCAATTACACGATTTTATATTCAATATTTAGAATAACTTCTTGTTGCTTGTTACTCAGACTAAATGTTTTGCTCTTTACCTCACCGAGGTCACAATCTGCTGATTAAATCACGAATGTGTTTTAGTTCTCATGACAAAGAAAGAGAAAACTCGGTTGTGGTTTTGCAGGCGTGGCTGGAAGCGCTGGAGGAGCACTCGGCCTACAGCACACACTACTGCTCCCAGGAGCAGGGCAGCGAGGAGGAGGAGGAGGAAGCGGTGTCACTCGGGGAGTTAACAGACTCACTTCAGGTGACTGTAATAAAAAGATCAGTAATAAACATGTCGTAACATAGCATAGCGTAATGAGCTGCAGTGCTTTTGTTGGTCTGTAAATCAGGCAGCGGAGAGCAGCCACAGGAAGCTGGAGAAGGAGGTGGCAGCTTTCCTGTCCATGTTGAAGAATGACAAGCTGCTGGCAGAAAGTAAAACCTCTTATTTTATTGTCTATTAAGTTTTTTAGTTTTTTTAAACACACACTTTGACACATAAACACACACATGAAGTCTGTCATTACAGGTTTGCTGTGTTTGTTTGTAGCTTTTCTGAAAGCATGAAAAAAAAAAAACATTCAACAACCTGAACTTCACATTTGCTTCAGTTTTGCTTTTTAAGTTGCAGAGACGACTTTTTCATTTCAGTCATTACTTTGTGCCAGTGGCCCCTCATCAGTGTGTTTGTCCCCTCAGGCTTTCCGTCCTCCGTGCTGCAGAAGATGGAAGAAATCTGTGAGTTGTCCAGTGAGACCAGCTCCAGTCTCAGTGTCTGTCTCGGCCTCTTCTCCAGACAGGAAGGGGTGAGTGTCTTTGTTTGACGGCCTGTCAGGTTTCTGTCTGCTATACCATTGATGTTGCAATATTATTACATACAGTACCAGTTCCCCATTCATGGGAACGTGCGCTCAAACTTTAGAGTAGCTCTAAAACTTTTTGCTGCCGACCCAGTAAAATGAAGGTGAAATGGATTTTAGCGACATCTGGATTTCATCTTTTTCAAGTGTAGCAATCTTCACAGCTCCCAAGGAAAATATGTGAGTGAACTGACCATTAAAAAAACAAATGGAGACTATAAATACTGTAATCAACAGGATCCTTACTGACTGCAACCTGCAGATATATAATCATGCTGTTTTTAAAGAAAACAAAACATGTTTCATAAGGAAGTGTCGGCTCACGTCACACCTCCTCATGAAAGCAGCTCGATGCAGTGCAGTGATTATAAACTGTCAGACGGGTTTTCTTTATGTGTGATTCAATGCATTTGATTAATGAAAGGTTCAGTGGGCAGATTACATCCCACCACGGACAAAAAAAGAGCTGTGAACATGGAGGAATTGCTGTATTATGAAATTTTACATTGTGATATTGACATAGGTGTGATACTGAACATCTTCTGGAAAATCTATTTAGAAAGTAGGAATGTCTGATCCAGCAATGAAATACCTGCCACATCAAGATGTTTCATTATGTTGATGCAAAAATCATAAAACCAAACTAAAAGTCTACAGCCAAAGCATCATGCTGTACTCTGTCAGAGGTGCTTTCGACTAAATGCTAACATGCTATCAGTCACCATGCTAATACGATGATGTTTAGCAGGTATAATGTTTTAAAACAACCTTAGTTTAGCATGTTAGCATGCTAACAATTCATCACTAAAACATGAACGTCTGAACCAGATTTCATGAGAATCCTTCCAACAGCTGCATTTCACTTAAAACCACAAATGTCAACCTGCTGGTGGCGCTAGACGAAAAAACTGAGGATGACCAAACTCCGAGGGATTTATCCTCTGAGGACCATGAATGTTTGTACAAAACATCATGGAGGTCCATGTGATGGTTGTTGAGATATTTCAGTCTGTACCACTGAGTGTTTAACTGCTTCCATGATCAGTCCTGTATTATATTAAGTAGCTATCACAATATAAACCCCGTCACTGAATCTGACAGCAGACACATTTGTAAAGTCCCTCAGGACATCTTCATATAACCGGCACTAATGCTCAGCGCTGCGTCCACCGCGGGACTCACTGATCAGTGCACGTTGCACGTGCGCGTGGACGTGAGCATGGAGATTGAAAAGAGATTGAAAATTGTCTGAATAACTGAATCTAAAGTAATGTGGTTGATGATGTGTGAAATGTGCGGCGTGTATCAAAGAGGTTATATCTCATCACAATCCTAATGTCTCCTTTTCGGCGTCGCTGTGAGAGCGAGAGCGTCTTCTCTGAACCTGATTTCTATCTGGACGTCACATCAGAATGAGAATGAGACTGAGAAGCAGCGGAGCTGCTGCTTTTGATGCATCGCCACGTGTGAATGCGATGATGAATGCGCACTTCAGTTGTTGAATATGTAAATCGAGGTGTGTTTACCTTCATGTGATAAAGCACAGAGTGAGGCTGTTTTTCCAGGCCATGCCGCCCTCCTGACGCCTGTCATTTCGTGCGTCTAAAACATGACATTTGCATATTAACGCAGACTAAGACCCTGACAGAACTGTTGGACGCCAAAGTCTGAATCTGTCTCAGTCATGATGTGCACATGAACTCATGTTTTCTCCTCCCACTCGCACAACACGGCTTCATCTCACGAACCAGAGAGCTGAATGTCTCCATCTTTAAAGGAGACGGCGCCGCTGGTGTCAGAGAGGCTGCCAAAAACCATCTGACCTTTCTCACTTTAAAAGCCAGTCCAGCGCTTTCAGAGCTCACACCTGGGCCGGGCCTCGATCGCTCAGCTGTGCAGCCTTTTGAACCGTGATCTGCAGAAGCAGACGGGCGATAAAGGGCTCAGAACTCAGTGTGAAAAGGTCTGTGTTCACCAGGAACAACTCGAACATGTACAGCATATCTACACTGTGTGAATGAAGCAGCGGGGCCTGTCCTCATTCTTTCCCCCCTGAGAGGAAAAGGTACTGAATCACTTCCAGCTCCTGCAGCGCTGGTTTGCACTTCAACACCTCCTGTGGGGGGGTCGAGCAGCAGGAACCTTCTCCTTAGAGCTCAGTACAGTGCAACAATGGCAAATGATCTGTGGTCTTTAAAACAGCACTTTCTCCCCACTTCACCTGACGTCCACCTGCTGGATTATAAATAACCATAAATTCTCCTTCTGTTGTGTCTGTGACAGTCCAGAGTGAAACACTCTTTAACTTTGTAGTTGAACAAGAAACAGTGAAGTGTTTTTCAGAAAGGCGCAGCTGCATCTTCACGTCATCATCCCTCATGTCTCCTGTAAAATGGAGGTTTGGTGGATGGTTTATATCTGAGTCTGTTACCTGTCATTTGATCCGCCTCTCCTCCACGGGGAGTCATGTTCTCATCAGGCCATTTGAGACGGCGGCGTCACGGCAGCTGTTCACCGGTTCAGGTAAACATGGCTCCAGCTCCGTCTCTCTCCATGGGACTGGTAATGAGAGGACAGAGCAGAGGGAAGGGTCAGTCAGTCAACATGACCCGCTGCCATCACGGCCCGTCCACTCACACACATTTACCTTCTGTTTGTAATGAGAGTGCGAATAAAACATTTGGGAGAATATTTATTTCTTCTCAAATGTGGAAGATACGATTCATGTTTCTATGGGTGATTAATCTCTGTCTCTTTGACTGTGTGTGTGTGTGTGTGTGTGTGTGTGTGTGTGTGTGTGTGTGTGTGTGTGTGTGTGTGTGTGTGTGTGTGAGCTCAGGTGCGCAGTCTGAAATTGGAGCAGGAGGTGGAGAAGAATAAGATCCTCTCGGAGGCGCTGCAGACTCTGGCCACAGAGCACCACGAACTTGAACAATCCGTCGTCAAGGGATCTTCGCCGCGCAGCGTCCTGAGCGAGGATGAGTTCCACGACGCCGTGTCTGGTGAGTTGACGAGTTCTCAAACACGCTGAGGAGACGCAGGAGATCCTGTGAGCGCTCACACTCACCGCTCTGTCATTCACCTCTAGGACGCCGGAATACTTTTTCCTGCCGGTGAATGTCTCTGGTATGTTTGCCGCTCGTCAGGCGTGACGTAAGCTCCAGTTGCCTGGTTGTGCTGAAAAAAGAATTTCCACATGAATTCTTGTTTGTGGTATGAGACGCCTGCATGGTGGAGTGACATTTAAAAAAGATGCTTAAGGATTTTTTCAGCAAGACGACAAAATGTTGACCTTGCTGGAGTTTGCTCTTGTTTTTTTTAGTTCTGTTTATTTAAACAAAAACTTTTCTCTAATTTGATACTGACGTGTTGACAGCGTGTTTAACCAGCAACACGCATGAAAGGAAGTGAACATGTCAAGACTGAAAGAAATATAAATCCATAGAGCTGCATGCGTGTTGCTGAGCATGATTGTGTTGATCATGATTCTCCGGTGTGAATCATCATTAATTGATTTTGTTTGCGTTATGTGAACAGCAGCCCAGGATCAAATTAAACTGTGACCGTACAGACAAATACAAATGTGATATATTTATACTTAAATAGAGAAACAGAACTAATGTACATTTTGAATATTAATAAAGCAGAAGTGAGAAAAATAATTATTTTTTGTTTTATTTTTCTGATTTCTGTTTTCATGAAATTGATGATGATTATTAAGTAACTCATTTGCATTTGAGCCCAATCAATAAGTGTTTGAGGGTGATACAGATATCAATACTGGGGATCAATAACCAAAACCAATTATAATTTATCAGCTGATATTCTGTGTGGTGACAGTCAAAGGTCAAAGGTCAAGCTCCTGTGAAGTTTTTGACAAGATTATGGCAGAAAAGACAATTATTATTATCATGATGAAGTGATGACATTTTATATCCAAAAGGTCAAAGGTCAACTTCTCTGTGACATCATAATGTTCTGCAGAAACAGTCCAGGCTGTTATTTAACTCAGGAACAGAGACGGAGATTGTGAACATATTTATATTTACATGTGTTTGTGATTCTGGTTGAGGAGAAGAAACACTCATCAAACATGTCAGCTGTTTGACAGATTTTCTCCGTGGTAACAACATAGCAACGTAGCAACATTAAGGCTACAAACAACCCATAATGCAACACTCTATAATAGACCGCGTTACTGATGTTGTGAACATGTGATTGTGTAGTCCACTTATTCAAACCTAATTTCCAGAGAAAACTTTTGTCTTGTTTTCAGCCAATGAGAATTCAGTTGTCAGCGCTCTCTGGTGGACAAACTATGTAACGGAGACACTGCTTATTTTTGGCATTTCGACGCTGCAGTTTCTTGTTACTAATCTCATGTATTTACAGATACAGATATATTTATTTGCAGGAAGCAAAACCAGCCGACACTGTCTGTAATTGCTACCATGCATGTGTTGACCCTGGTTTTACATCAAACTATAAAAAATTGCAGCAGCTACTGGAATAAATCCTTTTAATTATATTCCTCTCTTGAGTTTATGCTCTTTAACAGGTGATTTTTATCCAACCTGAGAGCTGTCTTCACTCTGAAACTGTCTGCGTTGCCTCCTTGTTCTTAGGAATCTTTAAAAACATTTCGTGACTCGTCTCTCTGTGTGTCGCTCTCCGTCAGAGTCGGACTCGGAGCTCTCCCTGAGCGGCTTTGAGACGGTGGCCAGCCATTCGTTTGAGGAGGACGAGGAGGAGGACGAAGGCTCTGTCATGCTAAGCAGCCCTTGCAGCAGCCCCACCAGCATGTTGCAGGAGGATCACCATGGCGACAAGGACGAGACTCAGCCCAATGGGATCACAAAGCACAGGTCAGTGGTGCCGAATGCCCCCGCGGTCTCCTAAATGGACCTCTGACCCCCCAGTGCTTTTATCCTCCTCTCATCAAAAGATGAACAAACTCAACAAAGCGCCGTCTCCTCGTATCGCACTCTTATTGTTGGGTTTTTTTTTTCTTGCTGTAATAAATCTGTGTCAGGCTGTGTGATATTTCACAAACCGTGGTTGTTCAGTGATTTTTCTTTCTTTTTTACATCGTCTCTCAGGTTTTTCCACTTCATACTATGAATAATTTAGAGTCGGAGGCGGCCCCGGTGAAGGCGGGAGAAAGAGTTGTGTTGAAAGAACGCAGCTCTGTGTTGGAGTTGTTAAATATTGATAAGGTCACAGTGTAATGCAATAATCAGTCTGCAGTATGATCCCATGTTGGCTCGTCCCTAAAGCAGCTTTTAAGAGCATTTATAATTTAATTATTATATGAATCACTCATGTTCTTTTCACCTGGTTCATATTCCATGTTCTTGTGATTCTAAATATATTCTCCAACTCTTTTACAACAGTTTGACCTGACACACAGATAAATGCTACTGATGGATGATTCCAAGTCTTTTGATATTGTCTCTCTGGGCTTCGCTCCAGTTCATCACACAATACATCAAAGGCTTTTATATTCATTTGAATTAGAAATGACACTTTGACAAAGCCATTAAACGTCTGGTATATTTGCTCTAATGAAAAATGCCTATTTATAGAGAAATTGCACAAATAACACAAAGTCAATGCGTCATTCACTCCAGATAGAGGTAATACAAGTGTGTGTTAATGTGTTGTTGTTTTAGGACCAGTTTACCTGCACCCATGTTTTCAAGAAACGACTTCAGCATCTGGAGTATCCTGAGGAACTGCATTGGAATGGTGAGAATAAAGATCTATGTTGTTTTTATTAGCCGTGCTAGCAGCACAGCTTCAGTCAGTCAGTCAGTCAGTCAGTCAGTCCCCAAAGCATGAGTGTCATAGTTTTAGTTTTTAGTGAAATGTCTCAACAGCTACTGGATGGATGACCATGAAATTAAACGAAAGAAACATTCATCTTCATCTGAATTAAAACTTTTCATCAAGAACAATAATCAGGTCAAACTTTTAATTTGTTCAATACTTTGGGTTGGGTTTTGCCCCCAAGTGGACAAAAAAAATAAAATTTAAATGGAGAACATGGCACCAGTTATACCTGCCTGACATCAGCACGTTAGCAAGAATTAGCATTTAGCTTAAAGCGACACTGTACCTAAGTATAGCCTCACAGAGTCACTGAACTTTCAATCATGTTCAACATCTTCTCAGAAAATATAACTGTAATGTGTTGTAGCATATGTAGCATGTGTAGCAGTCTGTAGTATGTGTAGCATATGTAGCATGTGTAGCAGTCTCTAGTATATGTAGCATATGTAGCATATGTAGCATGTGTAGCAGTCTGTAGTATGTGTAGCATATGTAGCATGTATAGCATGTGTAGCAGTCTGTAGTATGTGTAGCATATGTACCATGTGTAGCCTATAGCTTGTGTAACATGTGTAGCAGTGTGTAGCATATGTAGCATGTGTAGCATATATAGCAACTGTAGCATTGTGTAGCATGTGTAGCATCTGTAGCCTATACAGCTTGTGTAGCATGTGTAGCATGAGTAGCATGTGTAGCCTATATAGCATGTGTAGCAGTGTGTAGCAATGTGTAGTATATATAGCTTGTGTAGCATGTGTAGCATATGTAAAATGTGTAGCATATATAGCAACTGTAGCAGTGTGTAGCATGTGTAGCATATGTAGCATCTGTAGCCTATACAGCTTGTGTAGCATATGTAGCATGAGTAGCATGTGTAGCCTATATAGCATGTGTAGCAGTGTGTAGCAATGCATAGCATATATAGCTTGTGTAGTATGTGTAGCATATGTAGCATTATTAGCATGTGTAGCAGTGTGTAGCAATGTGAAGCATATATAGCTTGTGTAGTATGTGTAGCAGTGTGTAGTATGTATTACATGTGTAGCAGTCTGCAGTATGTGTAGCATATGTAGCATGTGTGGCATATGTAGCATGTGTAGCATATGTAGCAATGTGAAGCATGTGTAGCAGTGTGTAGTATGTGTAGCAGTGTGTAGCATGTGTAGCAGTATGTAGCATGTGTAGCAGTATGTAGCATGTGTAGCAGTCTACAGTATGTGTAGCAGTGTGTAGTATGTGTAGCATGTGTAGCAGTATGTAGCATGTGTAGCATGTGTAGCAGTCTACAGTATGTGTAGCAGTATGTAGCATGTGTAGCAGTATGTAGCATGTGTGGCATATGTAGCATGTGTAGAGTATTTGCTGTATAGGTTTCTGTGTTTCTGTGTTTTGCGATTGGATGTTGAAAGAGTCCAGGCACCATAATCCTGACAGGAATGTCAGAAACCTGTTACACTCATTAATCTTACATCTGAAAATTATAATTTCTAAAACCGAATCGAATAGATTCAACACAAAACTTACATAGAGATGTTTTTGTCCAAACTGACATACAAATGAGGCACAGACACTGTTACAGGACCTTTGAAGAACATTGAGCCTTTTCAACACTCAGCATGAATGTTAGACTTTCCAAGGATTACTGTGTGCATGTTATGAAACATCGTCCTTCTGTTCTTCCCCATGTGTCTTTCAGGAACTCTCCAAGATTACAATGCCGGTCATTTTTAACGAGCCGCTCAGCTTCCTGCAGCGTCTGACAGAGTACATGGAGCACACGTACCTCATACACCAGGCCAACGCCTCATCAGACTCTATTGAGAGGATGAAGGTAGTTCCTGAACACATCATGTGCAAATGCTTTCAACTGCATCAAATATAACTGGATTTTAACTGTATTATTCCTTCAGCTGTGGAGTTCAGTGCATATGACTGTGTGTGATTGTGTGTTCAGTGTGTGGCTGCGTTCGCCGTGTCAGCTGTGGCCTCCCAGTGGGAGCGCACAGGTAAACCCTTCAACCCGCTGCTGGGAGAAACGTATGAGCTGGTCAGGTAAGTGGGATCATTCAGCTCCTGCACTGATTATATATTAAAGTTAGCAGACACACAACACAGCTGTGACCCCCCCCCCCCCACTCCCCCAGAGACGATCTGGGCTTCAGGCTCATATCGGAGCAGGTGAGCCACCACCCACCAGTCAGCGCCTTCCACGCTGAGGGCCTGAAACAAGACTTTGTGTTTCATGGATCCATCTACCCCAAACTCAAGTTCTGGGGCAAGAGTGTGGAAGCTGAGCCCAAAGGCATCATCACGCTGGAGCTGCCCAAGTAAGAACGTCTGGCTGAGTAAAATAAAAATGTTAATCTTTTACTAACTTTATCACCTCAAGCTGTTGTTGTTGTTGTTTCTCTCCAGGTACAATGAAGCCTACACATGGACAAATCCTACATGTTGTGTTCACAACATCATTGTGGGCCAGCTGTGGATCGAGCAGTATGGAAACGTGGAGGTGATTAACCACAGGTAAGAGTAAAACTGTTGAACACTGTACTCAACTAAAGATCAGATTTTAATGTTCTGAGGAAGTCTGATCAACAAGGAGGGAAAGACAGAACAGATGAGTGTTGACGGTGACGTGCTGTCGTTCTCTCTTCTCACCCAGAACTGGTGAAAGGTGCTTCCTGAATTTCAAACCTTGTGGCCTTTTTGGCAAAGAACTGCACAAGGTTGAAGGATATATTCTGGACAAAAGGTACGGCTCCCAGTGATGTATGATGTTTAAACTTCCTCTCCAGACAAGTTTTAAACTCTGTAAAGATCCTCGGCTATGATTCATATTTAGTTTAAAATATTCACACATTAAATCTGGTTCTGAAGCTCGTCTTCTCTGACTTCCTGATTAAGAAATCAGGATCAGGCCTTGTGCCCCCCCCCCTCATTAGCATGTATAACTTTATAAATAATAATAATAATAATTAACTTTATTTGTATAACACCTTTCATACAAGAGATGTAGCACAAAGTGCATCACATGAAAAGACTTGAATGAACATAAAAACTTTAATGTAAAATGAAAAATGTTTATAACATAACAGCAATAACATAAATAATAAATGACATGAATAATAAAATAAGTAAAAAATAAGATTACATAAAGCATAATATCAGTAAGACATCAATACTTACAACAGCATTTCAAAGACGAGCAACATCAGAGCTGGTTCAAGGCTGAGGTGAAGAGAGAAGTTTTCGAGCTTTCTGTTAAAATAAAAACCTAAAGTAGTGATGATGGAGCAGCAGCTGCTTTGAATTCCTCAGATGTGCTAATGCAGCGAGCAGCCAGAAGAGACTCGACTTGAAGAAAATGACTCGTGAGCATCTCTGCACACACAGGATTACTCACCACGAGTGTCAGAGAAAATACATTCTCCTCAGTGTTAGCTGGATCACAGTCGCTGTCATACAGATATTTTATCAAACTGATGATGAAATATTTTCCTTAATACTCCTCCATTCTGTCAAAGCAAAGATGATTCAATAAGTCTTTTAAATATGTTTCATTTGTAAATCAGGACTTTAAAAATTAAGATCGGGTTCATCACAATGAGCCAATTTATAACTCCCTAAGTGTGACATCAGAGCCCATTATGAAATCAAATCATCATGCAAATGATCAATTACCAATTCACCCAATTAATAATTCATTGCCACCAAAACCGTCTCTTGAGGGACGTGGGCTTGAGTCCAAAAACGAAAAATGAAATGAGAACAAATGGAGAAGGCAGCTAACAGCTAACATGTGACTGAAGCAGACACAGGAACAAACACAGAGCAGCAGATGGTTCAGTCAAACATGGACGACACGCAGTTTTTAACACGACACAGCTAATGACTCAACATGAATGACTGGAAACAAGCCTTCTGCACAACCTCCAGAACAAGGCTGAATATGCAACATGAAGTACAGAGATACACACAGACACACAACGTGACAGTGAGGGAAGTTATGTAGAAACAAGATGCCGATAACGAGATAATCTGATTTAGATTTTTATTTTGGAGATTTCTTATCTGTTGAACGTTTGAGGCTCAAACTGACAGAAGTTCTCATCATGTTATCTGCATGCACGTGTTTGCTCCACAGCAAAAAGAAGCTGTGTGCTCTCTATGGGAAATGGACGGAGTGCCTGTACGTCATCGACTTCGCCGCCTTCGAGGCGCATAAGAAAAATGACAAGAAAGGAGCAGAGGAGAAAAAAGGCAGCAAAGCGGTACGAAGTGTTTTTCTCCTGAACAGCAGGGAATCCCATCATGAGTCATCGTGTGGATAACTGTTTGACCACTGAGCTGATGGAGTCAAGGAGAAGGATCATATCAGAAGATCTTCACTATCATCCACAGTTCATCACTCTGTCAGTGAAGTACAGTATCATTATGCATCTTGCAGAGAACTTATTGCATCGTTGTGTGTGTGTGTGTGTGTGTGTGTGTGTGTGTGTGTGTGTGTGTGTGTGTGTGCAGGGCTGCAGCGAGGGTCAGGAGGAGCTTCCTTCACCTGCTGCAGACACTGTGCAGGTGATTCCTGGCAGCCAGCTGCTGTGGAGAATCGCACCCAGACCGGCCAACTCCGCCCAGGTCCGTCCCACGATAAACATTCACAAGAGCATCGCCTCGACACCAGGAAGTGTTTTTTAACGTGCAAAATCTCCTTTCATTCCAGATGTACAGCTTCACGTCGTTTGCAATGCAGCTGAACGAGCTGCACAAGGAGATGGAGGGAGTCATCCCTCAGACCGACTGCAGGCGGAGGCCGGATATACGAGCCATGGAGAACGGGGACATCGGTAATAATTATTAGTGATGTACTGGAACTTAAAAGTAAATAACACTCTCACTTCAGTCTGAGTATTATTATTATTATTATCATTATTATTATGAAATAGATATGGCCAGTGAGGAGAAGAAGAGGCTCGAGGAAAAACAGAGAGCTGCTCGAAAGAACCGCTCCAAATCTGAAGAGGAGTGGAAAACAAGGTGAGATCAGATGAACGTGTCCTCTCTTTCATCAGCTGATGTCTGCAGTCAGTTCTCATTGTGACACGTGAGTGTTGTCTTTGTTACTGAGAGGAATATTAAGACGACAGCCTTCATCAGTGTCTATAACATGGCAATAATTGATATTTAATATGAATAAATGGTGAACAGTTCTAGTTATCCTTACTTAAATTTCTTAAATATACTTTATATGTAGTTTTCATTGTGGCTGAATCCAGTTTCCTTCCTTGATGCTGGAATTTCATCATCTTGACTTTGTTGCTTTGACGTGTTGGAGCTAAATTTCCATTTTCTCTTCACTTGTCTTTTCTGTTGCGTCCTCGCTCTGCTGTGAAGGAGTCCTGCGCTGGGTCCAAGGTTAGAGCTGCTGGCTGTTTTCACTGTGTGTTTCCAGACACTTCTTACTCTCTTGATGTGAATGTGTGTTCAGATATGACAGAGAACGACTTGTGATTAATCTGCTCTTCCCTCCACCAGCGTGGCAGCTCCACTTAGTGGCACTAGACGGAATTAACTCTTAATGTCACATGACAACCCCCCCCCCCCCCCCCCCCAATGTTTCCCCTCCTTCCTTTTAAATATTTAAAGATTATTTAAAGATATAACAAGACTAAATTCAAACGATCAAACCGTAGATTACCTGTAACCCCATGATGAAGCATGACTGACCTTCCCTCCTCACTTCATCTTATTTGTTTGGGATCTGATTTTGTCACTGAATGTCACTGAATGTGTGTGTGTGTGTGTGTGTGTGTGTTTGTGTGTGTGTGTGTGTGTGTGTTTTCAGGTGGTTTCAACAGGGACAAAACCCCCACAACAGCTCCCAGGACTGGCTCTTCTCTGGTGGGTACTGGGACAGGACGTACAGCGAGCTGCCGGACATTTACTAACGGACACTTCCTGTCCAGTGTCGTCCGTGCCGAGCAGCGTCAACAGTTTTTTAATGGAACAGCTACAGTAACTACAAGCTGTATGCAAACAGTGTACTTCAACTGCGTGGCCTTATTCTACTTTATAATGCTGAAACTGCATCAAAATGTCAATAATCAATATTTAAAAGGTCTGAAATGTAAAGTTGTTTGACAATGTTTTTGAGATGTAGTATTTGTATTTATACTGAGACCAGACTGTTTCTCTCCATCATGTTTTCAGCACAGTGGAGAGGTGCTGATGATGGTTTTAGTGTCCATCTGTCTCTTTTTAAATGTCCATAATAGTGTGTCGACTCTGGCTGTATATCTGTGCACATACTTCACACGAATCCGACCGTCAGTGACCTCATCACGCCGTTCACATTTCCTCTGGACTCGTGTTAAACTCACTAAACCGCTTCCAGTTCACTTCATATGAGATGGATGTGGGTGTCGGCCATTTCTCCTGATACAGTGAAACACACTATATTTTCTGCACCACTGTTACACATGTGATCTGAGTTTAAGAATCATCTGCCACGTGTTTTGTTTGTTTTTATCTCGTCCACTGAATCCTGTGTCTGTTATGTTTCATATATTATAACACACATAAGACTGAGTTCTGTAAAGAGGTTTATTAATAGTTCTGCTGAAACTCTAAAATCTGTGCATCATACAATCTGTCAGACTAAACAAAGCGGGTTGGGGGTTGTAAGGTCACGTGACATGGAAAATGTAGAATTTTAAGGTGTTTTGCCTCCATTATAGTATTTTATTGCAAACCTAAATAAAACACTTCAGTGCATTCATGAATGTTTTTACTGTTTCTGTTGGGTATGCTGGGAGTGCAGCACAAGTGTCAGAGAAATCTGCAGATGAAGTGTGACCTCTAACTCAAGGGCCGGTGGTTCGATTCCTCATGTCGAAGTGTATTCGGGCAAAATACTGAATCCAAATTTCCCCCAATGTGTCACCAGTGTGTGAGTGTGTACATATATATATATATATGTAGAGAAAAGAGCTGTATGACGGTGTGTGTGTGTGTGTGAATGTAAGATACAGTGGGAACATTTGCAGTATTACAGCAGCACAGAGGACAGTACAAAGAAAACTGCAAAATGTCAATATCAACACTTAAACTAGAATCAGCTCCTGGTGGTTTTTCTGCCTCCTTCTTCTTCTTAAACATAAACTCAAAACGTTCGTCTTCAGCTCGGCTTTTAATGAAATATGGTTTTCAGTCATCAGTCACTTATATTGTTGGAATCATGATCTAAATTGTATTTTATTCAGTCTCTCTCTCTTGTTTGCTAATGTTATTATAGCTTTTTAAATCTATTATATTGTATCTCATAGCTTTCTTACTTGGGTGTTTGTTTCCACCTCTGGATACAGATGTTGGTGAGTAAAGGAACGAGGTTTGAAGCTTCTAGACTGGTAAGTAAACAGTCTGTTAATGCTAACGTTAGCTATGTAGCAATAGCAAAACAAACTTCTTAACATTTCTCTTATCATACTAGTACTACACACTACTACTAACTAGTTCTACTCTGTAATACAAGAACAATGTTTTTACTTTAGGTCTGTCTCCCTCATGGACACTTCCACATCAGCTGGTGGCTTCTTGCCTGACCTGTTTCTTTGTCAGGCAACAGAATTTCAAATGTGGGTTTTGTGGGTTTCACGTCATCAGTGTTTAGGGCATCCATCGATGCTCACGGGATCAACCACCCTGGGTTGTGTCTCAGATGCAACAGGCCAGTCATTAACCTTAATGTTTCGCAGGCAGCCCACAAAGGGTGAGGACACGGGGACATGACTGGACTTCGTTGTCCCTGAATGGAGAAAAGGAAAAGCAGAAAAAGAAAGAATCTGGTCAGAATTTATTTCATAAAAAGTTGATTTTCTTTAAAAGACATTCTGTGAAATGTTTGATGGATTTACCTCCGATGTAAAGTGAATCCTGTGACTGTGACATGGACACGAAGGGGACGGCCTTCTGCTCAGACACGGAGTCCACCACTAGTTTGATAACTTCATGTTGTTTGGACACTGATGGACAAGATCACAAGAATTTAAAATTTAGAGCCGCTCACATATGATCAGGTGATGTCAGCGTGTGGAGTCATACCTGTAACCATGTGAAACTTTCCATCACACAGGCTTCCACGAGGCGTCACAGAGACACTGACAGCGCCGCTGCCGTCCTCCACTTTAACACCCACCTGGTAAAAGACTGCAGTCAGTGAACATGGTTGTTTAATTAATGTACTTTTTAATTCTAAGCGCTGAAAGGTTTTACCTTGTTTTCCATTAAGAACACATCAAGGCCGGCCTTGTCACTTCGAACATGGAAGAGAAGACCTGTCCGGTACTGAGGACGCAGCTCGAAGGACAACACAAAGTGGGAGCCAACACTGAAGTAATTATCTATAACACACATATTATTCATTAGACGTGAGCGTTTGTTGTAACCTGTAATACATCAGGATCAAAAGAATGAAACGTCAAACCTAAGACAATGTGACCTCCGCCAAAGTACGTCCCCAATTCTGTGAGACTGTCGGGACACGGTAGAGTTTTGTGGCTCCCCTGCTGTTCCTCCACAGCCACATTATTCATTTTGAAATCCCGTATACAGCCGGTAATGCTGTTCATGGGAACGTTGTGTTCCTGTGGGACGACCAGGAGAGAAGAGAGGGGCTTATGTGGGCGGGGAGATCTCCAAAAAATAAAATCTCAATACAGTCCAACCAGATATCAAGATATACGTGTTTTCACCAGAGGAACATAATTATAATCTTGTAGTTTCAGGTGTTTTTTAATTACATATAATTATAATCTTGTATTTTATGTTTCAGGTATAGGTGATGCTGCCACTAAACAGCACGTTTTATTTGTGAGATGCCAAGTTTCAAAACAGTGAAATGAGGGTCGGACAAAAAAACAAAACAAACAAAACTGTTTTTCTCCATAATTATGAAAAATGTTGTCTATGGCACGAAATCATGATGTTCAATATTATCAAATATTGGCCTAAACCTAGTCGTGTGTGAAAATGTGTGACAGGCTGTTAAATAAATGGTCCAACAGTGACGGAGGTTTGATACAGACCTTGATGGTTCTGTCTGTGGGATCAACTCCCAGGTGCACGGGGCTGAGCAGGTCCAGAGATGATCCCTCATTGTCAGGTAAGTGACCATCAGTCACACGGAATCCATCAACCAGCAGATGAAAAGTGCTCTTCTCCACACTGAGCTCAACCTACACACACACACACACACACACACACACACACACACACACACACACACACACACACACACACACACACACACACACACACACAGGTAAAGTGACAAGTCGTCAGCATAAAGACGTCAGTCAAACAGATTTTAGGTCACTATCACTGTAATGTACAGGAGACTGAAATGATATAACTCTATATGTGCAGTAATTGATCGTTCACAAAACCCCGCCCCCCAAACAGTGATTGGCCAATCACAGCTTACTAACTTGATTTCTCCTATAGACTACCACTAGAGATGTCTGTAAACTTAAACATGACACATTTAGCATTAAATAAGGTCAATTATTACTCTTCAATTTTAAGAATTTTGAATCCATTCCTTTACATTTGAATAACTTCAACCTATCAAAGCAGGAGAAACAGTAAAGCAAGCAAACCTGGAAGCAGTGTTAACTAGCACAGTAACCTAATTTCATTGTTTTCAAATTAAAATAGTTACATCAAAGATCCTTTTGCAGGGTTTTTGTTTTAAAGCAAATGATCTAGAAATACTAAAAATTCAGCTGGAGACCGTCGTCATAGTTAAAGTTAGCATTATCTTAGATTATAACTACTGCTCATCAACAGTCAGTGGCTGGAATTTAAAAACAATCTGCTTCTGTTATCATTGTAAACTACGTGCAAGCAGGCCTAGCAACAGTAACCAAAGGGGGAGGGGCTTAGCGAGCGGTCAGTTACTCTGTGCCAGGTCCCGTCGTTACTCTTCTGCTTGTGCTGGATGATTCTGTTTTGTCCCAGTGACATCTTGATCTTGCCGTTGGCCATGTACAGCGCCAGCACGGGTACGACGCCCCTCCCCGCCACGTGCAGGATCAGCCCATTGGACGACTTGGTCTTAACGTCGAGAGAGAAGTGAGGCCTGAGACGCAAGCGGAGACACAACGGTGAAGTTTCATATGAATGAATATATAGTTGGTTGGCTGAATGAATGAATGAATGAATTTAAAATAACCTGTAATTAAGCTCCTTTTGTGGCAGGGTGTAACTGAGCCAGCTGTCTTCATCGTAGAGCTGGTGTTCAGCACGGTGCGCTCCTCTGTTTCCACACGGGCCGCCTGCAGGGCCGCCTGCAGGAGGCTGAACCTGACAGCAGGTAGAGAAATGACCTGCATCAATAACCCAGCACTAAAAGCAAGAGGAGAATCACGGTGCTGTGGGAAGGGCGGCTTGTTGTGCTCACAGGTTTGTGACTGCGGTGCTCTTGTGGTGCGCTATGGAGACTGGACAGGCCAAGAACTGTGTCTCCCGTTTGTGAGAATGAGCTCAGATCAGCAGGAATAAAGCTCTGCTCCGGTCTGCGGCAGAGATTTCCATAAAACGTTAATTGATGTTAACATTAGGAAAAAGTGACACCACGTTAGAGCAGCTGAACCATTAAAACAACGTTAACAGATTTCCAAACCTCCTTGTATAAAGATTGGAGATCCAGGCTTTGAATTTCTCTCCAGGCGAGTTTTGATGCTGTGGCCTGACGTGATGTGATTGTCCTTGAATCACATTCACATTATCAATGCTGAGCTCCAACCTGAGAAAATCATGACGGCTTCAGTGATGCGCTTTTTCAATTTTAACTGAGGTAAAGGTGCAAGTGTTGGCAGGAGGACTCATCCTACCCTGTGGGCCTCCTCACTGCAGACAGGTAGTGCCAGCTTCCATCGCTGTATCTTCTATCAGACTTCAAGGTAAAATCACTGCTGCTAAATACGACACAGCCGTCAGCCAGGGACAGCCGAAGGTCCTGCGAGAGGATCAGAGAGTAGTAACAGAGTCGTCTCCATCTGTTGATTCTCATTTAAAAGCTGGATCCGGTTTACCTGAGAGCTGCCGCTGAGCAGAACACCGTGTCTGTCCGAGGACCTGAAGCCCAGAGAGACTCTGACCGGCCGTTCATCCTCAACAAGCAGGGAGTCGATGGACAGAGCCGAGGACAACGGAGCTGCACGGACACCCTGCACGAGCCAGGAACACACCTTTACATTCCTCTCTAAATACTGAAGTCTCCATTACTTACTTTTCAGTTTCAATTTAAACTTTGGCTTTTAATTTAAACATTTTCATTTTGAATTTACACTCCAGGATTTTAAATTTCACTTTTTATTTGTACATTACCAATTCACAATAATATTCTTCTTCCGTTTCCCTTTTTCTTTTTTGACATTTCATTATGTTAAATAAGAATAATTTTTTTTTATGCCTCCGTGCCGGCGACAGTCAAAGCTGGAGGCCATTTAGTTTTCGGGTCACCCATTCTCATGGACACGATATCTCAGTTACGCCTTGATGGAACTTCTTCAGATTTTGCACAAACATTCATTTTGACTCAAGCATGAACTGATTAGATTTTGGTGGTCAAAGGCCAAAGGTCAAGGTCAGTGTGACCTCACAAAACACTTTTTAGCTGTTGCTCAAGACTTCACACAGCGACTATTTCACACACATGGTTAATATTTTCTATGACTCTGGATGAACAGGGATGTAACCTGGAA